TATTTGATTTTGCTGCTGTTAACGTCAAAAAATGATTGAAATTGCGTTTGGTGATAAAATGGTAATAATTTTTTCTTCTAGAATTTAGGAAGCAACTGTAACTTGCAGCTCATAAGACATAGAGTTACAAATGAAATTTATGTCGAAAATTGATCAAAATTTAGAATGAAGAATCAGATTAGCAGAATTCCGTTCGAGGTATAATATGGTAAATTTTACTCTTAATGGTAATGGAAACAATTGAAACTTGTTCTATCATCCTACGCATAGCTGCAACTAAAATTTAAGCACATGAGTAAGTTAGGAAATGATCAAAATACAATTCACGATTACTTATTTATGAGCAAAATACTTATAATTGGGAAGCGTCATCACATATAGCGTCATCAGATATGAAACTCTAGTAAAACTTTGAGTTCTCTAACTAATGGAGAAAAGGTCGACAGAAAGAATGGAGAAAATTTTGATAGCATGATTTAATCAACGGAATCGAGTAAAAACGTAGTAAATAGTTTAAAGGTCAGTTTTAAATAAAATATTTTTGAAGTTTATATTTAAAATATTTATTTTCCGAAACGATTTTTTGTTACTGTCATTGATTCTGACATAACCGTGACGATCGCCTGACCAAACTATGGGGACCATATTTCCCAGATTGCGGGTCATAAATCGAAAAAAATATATGTTTGTTTAGAGAAAAAACGTTTTCTGTTTAATTTCGTAATTTAAAAAATCGTCAGCACTAATTGATCAGCATATTTAAAATTACCTTCTCAAATAATTAAGATTGAGTCTTAGAACATGAAGTTCCGATCATTAGTTCAAAAGTTATTCAGATAGTAGTCTTTTTTTTTTTTACGCGTATTATACATTGTGAAGCTTGGACTAATTTACAATGTGCCAAACTAACTCTGTATACCACCTCAATATCCATACTTTAACTTAATAAAGTTAAATATCAAAATAAATAATGCATCAATTCAAAGATTAATATAAAGAAGTATAATACCAGAAGCGAAACTTTACAATTTTCAACGTTTGAGTATAAAACTGCAAGTTTTAAAAGTTCGTATTTTTGTTGTGCAGGAAAATGAAAGGAAGAATTCGTTTCGGATATTAAAACTCAAATATGAACACCAGTTACAAATGAATTGGACCTTCAAAGTGTTCTATGAATTAAACAAAATGGTAGGAATAAACAGTGTCGCCATGCCCCAAACATTTCAATTCCCTCTTTCATGAGTAATTCATCAAAGAATTTAAATGCTTCAATAAGAAAATAGAAACTAAATTCCATTAAAATATTGTGCCATATTCATCTGCACTTCCATTGATAATTTTCAAAAGCTGTTTAATATTTACAAATATAATAGGAAAGAAAGTTTGGGTATACAATGTTTTTCGATTGAATTTACATTAAGTGAAAACGATAATATCACGTTCCATTTTTTCTTCTTCTTAGAATTGTTTTTTCTTTCCGTTTAAAATAAATATTTTGAGAAAAAATTACATTATTACATTTTATAAAATAAGTTTTATGAACAGTAAAAAGTATTAATTTTTTTTGTCCGATTTTCTGAAATAATTATTAAAATTAAACTGAAAACGATTAAGAATTAGTTCACAGTGTACACCAATAACAACGTCTTTTTTTCTAATATTGCACTAATATTAGAAAAAAAGAAGAAGAAAAAAACGAGAATTTTGTATATTAAACTCGGAATTTTTGGAATATTGAAAAAATTTCGGAAAGGAAGAATTTTGCGTAATGTTTTTAACATCTTTGAAAAAGCTAACAGTGTCTTACAATCAGGCTTCGTAGTGACAAAGAAAAAATCAGGACGCTTTTTGGAACAGTATACTTATAGTACAATATTACCTTTAAAATAACAAACAGCTAAATACAAAGTATAATTTTTTCTACTTTAAAGTAACAAAAGCAAACTTTGACACAAAAGAATAATAAAACTTACTGATTCTAATTTAAGAATTACCTATTTTTGAACAGAAAAGTTTTTTTTAACTGTTTCCAGAATAATTTCATCAATATTCAACAACGCAATACATAGAAAAATTTTATAATTTTGTTACATTAAAAAAAAAAAACAGCCAGAATCAATTACACTGACGTTCAAAATTTAGAAAATTTGCATATTATGACGAATTTCTTGAAAACAACAGAGGAGCTACTGTTCCGAAATTAAGATGTAAATCTTATGTATCGAATACGTAAGCATATACGTGTGTGGGGGCGGAGCTAGTAGAAGAATAGACTTAATAAGCGCGCATGGAAAATCTGCTATTCGTTCGCTCACACATCTTGCCAAATTTCTTGATGCATTTTGTGGTTCTTTTAACTTAATTTCAAAAAATAAGAATTAATACGCTACAACGTTTGGAGAAGGCAAATCGTTGGGACACTTGATGCAGGCCAGTCTCAAATCCAGATTTTATATTTTAAAAACTTCGTTGAACAGCCGACTCAATTTTGAATTTTCGACTACCAATGTTCAACTCTGTAACCTTCTAATTTTGAACCCCATCCAGAAATCAAGGGAACTCCTAAATCAAGTATTGGGAGTAATTTGCCCATTTTAATGGAACTAACCCACGTTTGCGTTATACGGAGAGAAAATCAAAGAAAACCTGCCACGGTTAGCCTGACGGCAAGAAGAGCCTAACCCATGATCTGTCTACCACTGTAGATATTTTACGTCAGCACTGAGGTGTGTGTGTCGGATTACCCATTAGGCCAGGCCTGGGCCCCCTTAAAATGGATTTTTTGAAAATAAATGTTAAAAAATTAAGAAAAACAATGATTTTTTTTTTTAAAAAATATCAAATTCAAATATATATTAATAAAATACGATATCTTTCTTACATAACGTTAATCATATTGCTTTCTTAAATGAAAAGATATATAAATACTTTTATATTTGAATAAATAAAAAATATACGAGAAAAAAATTTAATCTAAGGGCCCCAAAATTTTGAATGGCCTAGGGCCCCCGCGTACGCTTAATCCGACCCTGGGTTATAATGTGACCCCGGTGCGGAATTCTCAAATCCAGATTTGTTGAGATTTCAATTAAACGCCCAGCGTCAAGTGCAATTTATAAAAACAATTCCGGATCTGTCGAGAGAAAGCCTGACCAAGAGCAACGGCAGCCAACGAAGATAGGTATTTGTCGATTACAGCGTCTCGCCGAGACGCTTCTTGAATGAGGGCTGTTTGTTTGCGTCCCTCTGACTTCTGCCAACGAAAGAGTCCGTTTAGGATAGTGCTGAGAGCATAGAAATTAAAACATAGATCAATGGTCAAATGTTCCAATATTTGAAAATCTTAACTTTTACTAATGCAGGGAAAGCAACACACTGTGAACCCAAGTATTTATCATTAAATTATATATTTAAGTATTTGCCATTAATTTAAACGTCATTTATTGGGTACGTCAGTTTCTGCATTTCTTAAATACCATTGCGGATAACTTTAACAAAAGAAAACGTATTTCGATGAACAAAAATGTGAACAACTGATTCATAAAATAAAAAAAACTCTTACCACATAAACTCAACAGATCATTATCAGTTGATACCATACCTGCCAACTTTTAATTTTTCCGCGGAAGATTTTACCCAGAGGTAATAAAACGAGAATTTGAATTTCAATTCAATCGTGGGCAGAAATATGTTTTTTTTTTTTNTTTATGGGGGTCGATGGAGATTTCGAAAAATTATGTAGGGGTCGATGATCAAAAAAGTTTGGCAACCCCTGGGTTAGAGCTTAAACTTCTAATCAGTGATTATCATACAATTATGTGTATGTTTAATTAGTTTTTCACAGTGTTGCTATAAATCAATTTAAATTAAATTTCTAAATGCAAAAGATATTTAGAATATCATATTATGTATTATATTTAAAAAAACATAAAAAATAAAAATTTTCTCAAAATATGCTGTAAGTTAGTAGTTCTGTGATACTCTTAAATCAACTCAGCTTAAAACTTTAATAAAAACTATTAACCGAGTCAAATACGTTGGGGTAAAAAAGTTGGTATATGCAAACTGAAAACACAACAGATCAACAAGCAGCTAACAATGTAAAAATTTGTAACCCGTAGAGAAAATTATAATTGTATATCTTCTATTATAGACACAAAGATTTACCATCCATTTACAGTACTCGAAAGGGAAATGTGGTCGTGAGTTCGATCCCTACTGACTGAAGACGCCCCGTGTAGTAAATGGTGACTGGTCAGCGTTAAATCGGTCACGTCACAAAGTCCTCCAAGTTCCCATTACAAATCAATACCTGTGGTGGAAACTAATTGGAGATTGATCATTCTCTGGTTCAGGTCAAGATTACGATCTATGCCCTTTAAAATGGGCTGCTTGTGGCTGAAGTCTTATTCTTGGTCATAGATGGCGCTACAGAAAAACAAGAAACACACCCTCTGCCTTAAATTTGCTTGGTTTCACCAAACAGGCTTATTGGTATTAACAAGTGCCATTAGAAACAACAACAAAAGGGAAATATACCTCTGTAAAAATTGTATATAAATGAAACCAAGTTTATATTAAAGAGCATAATTGAAAACATGGGATGGTGTAAAACTTTACAGCAACTATTGATATTTAAGTAAAAAATTAACATAACTGATGTGGGCACGTGTCACACTAAATGGTTCTACTTTATATCTATTAGGGTGCAAGTATAATATCTCATTGTTTTATTTTTATTTCAAGCATACCTTTACTTTAGTACAGTTTATTTAAAGTACAATTTTATTATAGTGTAGTTTATTTTAAGTATAATTTATAATTTAAAACATATTAATGCTTTTTTCAGTTTTTCATTTAAAAAAATTTATATATTTACAGTCTGATGGTACAAAATGAAAAAATAAAAGCATTAACAACTAAAACAGTATAAAGTAATACCTGAAAATTATATTATTAAAACTAAGAAAACAGTGAATAAAACAAAAAGACGACAGAAGTATGAATTTAAATTTTATTTACAAATGACATCAGTAAAACAAGTGAATAAAACATGGCATGAAGTTCAACCATATATTTTCATTGATGATATTCTTGACCTGTAAAGAGAATTGAACAATAAATTATTAAATAATTTATGATTTATATATTATTATAATTTATTATGTATTTTTTCCTACTTTGAAAAAATAATATTTCTTGATGAAATAGTCATGTAATTTGAAATTAGGCGTATAAGATGGAAAAAAAGCAAGACTTCAACTATTTTCAATTAAAAAAAACAGATATTATTCAGAAAAACAGGTTACCTCCAACAAAAATAGGTTTTGAATGGGAATAACGCCTTAGGAAAGTGAGATATAACATAGATTGTTTACCCAATTAATGCAATTTTATGCAAAGCAATGTTGTGACTTTAATCATGATCTCAACACATCCAAATTTTAGGAATATTTCTTTTTACTGTGGTAAAATTAATGTAATTTAACCTTTTCATTTTCGATACTTTACAGTTTTAAATAATTGCAATTAATATTGCTGGATGCGATTAATAACACTTATGTTATTGGCTGCTCTTTTACCAACATTGTATTGCCCAACTCATTCACTAGAGATAAACAAATTACAAACAGGGGCCTGAATAATAGTTTTTAAAATGCTTTTTCAAAGTTCAGATTGACGTAAATTTTGAATCCCACATTTGAGTGATAACATTTTCAAGATTACATCACAGTGTAAATTTGCTTGACTTTAAATTATACATTTGAACAAATCTAGTACTCAAAGAGATAAAGTGAATTCTATTTAACATTTAGCTTGGTTCTTACATAAATTGAAAACCATATTTTATCTTCATACTGCATTATTCTCTGAACAGTTGTTTTTACATTTGAATTTTTTATTTCGAAAAATCTCTTCATTTATAATCTTTGAGAAGTAATATTAGTCTGGATTATCATGAAATTCATATTACTGGAGATCAGATTTCCGGGGTTCTACAGTATTTCATGATGGCAATCTTTTTTAAACACTAAAAAATAATACACCAAAAAATGATATTAAAAAAAAATAATATTAAAAAAATAATATTTTACAGCAATGCCACTTTCATAAAATCATACTTAAAATATGACAATATCTAATTTTAACACTTTAAAATAATAATTTACTTTTACAGATAAAGCAGTGTTTAAACAATGTATAGAAGAAAATACAGAAACAAAATGCAAAAGGTAAAGTCAGATACTACTTTTATTCAAAATTACAATCAATTTTAAATAAAATAATTTCAATAATTTAATTCAGTATTCAACACTTCCTACACAGTAGAACTGAAATAGAGTGCCCTATTTCTTCATAAAATGGAATCACAGAAGTCCTTATTTATGTATTTAAAGAATTAAATGTAGCAAGTTTATTTATTAACTATTTTTACACTTAGTCTTATTTTAATCTATAGATAACTCAATAGCATCTAACCTAACTTTCCTTACAATAAACTAATGTGTGAAAAGATGATAAAATATTTGTAAAATAAAAAAAAAATTGAACTAACAGGAAGAATAAAATATTTAGGATGTAAAAACTATGTCACATCCATAAGTTAATAATCAACATTTTTAATGACTTTTTACAAAAGTCATTGTCAAAAGTAAACATCCTTTATAGTGCGAGGAAAAAACAACTGTTTTAAATGCAATATCATTTCACTGTTTAAAGATAAAAATGCTAGCAAGCAGATTTGAGAGATGGAAAATAATTTTTTTAAACTTATTTTTAGTTTTATTTTAAATAACTTAATCACATCATGTAATTAACCTTATGAAGCTCTAGCCTGGTTATATTTGTTATCTACAAATGCTACTATACTAAATTGAATTAAAATTTAATTAGCTGTTGTATTAATCAGCTTTACTGTATCTAACCTAAATGACAATCAGTACTAAAAATAAAAATAAAAACTGAATGGTGTTACAAACTAAGTCTGACAAAAAAAACTTAAAAATAGAGGAAATATTATAAGGTCATCTAAGAACCCTTTGTTAATGTGAAAAAGATAAAACATTTCACTTATAGATAATTTTTAACGTACTCTTACTTAAATAAGGTTAAAATCCTAATCAGATTCACTTCCAGCATTATTTTTACCTGCAAACAATCAAGAAAATAAAATAATTATTCAAAAAGAATAAAAATGTTAGACAATATTAGACGACAGAAACAAGATTTTAAGAGTCATATTTAAAAAAGAAAGAACAGGTACAGAAAAATAAGCCTTGAAAAAACAGATAGATGACTTTATTAAGGAAGATACCGATTTTTTATTTTTTATTATTATTATTTGAAAAGTTAGCTGGAAAAATAATCAGAGAGTATACCATTGTTCCTTTTTTAGTGATTCGAGTTATCTGTGACTTTATTTATCAATCATCTTTATCAACAAAATCTCAATTATTACTTGAAGCAACATATTTGCAAGCAGTTTTATAACAGGGTAGATTTTACAGATTCTTTATGCAATATGGAATGTAAAATTTGCAAATTATGCAATATTTTGTTCTTAAAAGGTCATTGTTTGTTCTTTAAAGGCTATTTCGTTAAAATAAAATTATTATTTACAATATAAGACTGTTTGGTGTCAACTAAAAAATCTACTTTCAAATGCGTTGAGGGCAACCTGCTTTTTCAGAGTTCTCAAGAACTGCTACTATTTACAATATCAATATTTTCAGCAGTGACATCTTTTTTTGAATCCTTAAATCTATGATTGCTGACCAATTATATTTTTCCGGAGAACTTTTATTAATAAATCATCTCTTTGGCTTTTTTAAGAGTTTAGATAACTAGTCATACAAAATATGATTAAGTGTCAATTTTTCTTGCAGTAATTTTAATGTTTGATCAAAATATATTTAATGCTGATCATAAAGTGGAAGTATACAGCAGTTAAGGAAGTTTGTAAGATGTTTTTGGTGCTTGTATAGCTACTTAGTGTTATAAATCAGCTATTTGTGCAATGGCATTGCTGTGTAGGAAAACATAGGATTTATAGAACGATTTTGGTTTGAGGACAATCTAGGATGTTTTGTAAGATTTTGAAAAGTATAAAGGAAATATGGAATATATGGGATGACTTTGACCCCTGTTAGAGCAATGAACAAAAATCTTTCCCGACAAGACCGTATTGCACAAACCTCACTTCTTCACAGACCTTGTTTTTCGTTAAAAATTGCTTTGCCATAGATAAGAAAAGCGAAACTTTCAACAAAAAAAAGACATTTTTAATTTTTCACAAAAATGAAAAACTTCATTAGTGAAGAAATTCCCGGATTTTCCGTTTTGAAAATGAAAAAAATACTGCAAGTTGATGATTATCATTCCCCCACCAAGGACAAACAGCAAGTGTACAATCTGTGATTCTCTGATTTTTCCTGGTTTTCTCAGATTTCACGGTTGCTCACCACAGAGCATGTAAGGGAATATAACACAAATTAAGAAAGGTAATCAAAGACAAATAAAAATATATTAATTTGCTTTCATATTTAATGCAAATAAAAAACATACCAGATGCAACACTGCCTTCTCTGTCAGAGTCTGAAGCTTTTGCTTCTTCATCTGAAAAATACAATACCTTAAGTAAAAAAATTTCAATTTACTAGTTGAAAGTCTTTATCAAAACAATAAACAGATTTGCAGTCATCAAATTTGTAATTAAATGTTCACAAGTTTATAGCTTTATTATTACTAGACAACTGGATCAAATATGAAAAATCACAGGGTTTTTATTGATCATGTTGTCTGCAATTAAAATAGGCAAACTCATTTTGAAAAGGAAATTTAGAAATTAAACAAAGGTTATATATATATATATATACAGTAGAGAACCAATTATCCGGGATGCTCGGGACCATCGCTATCCCGGATATCTGAATTTCCCGGTTTTCTGAATCGACCAAAAAGTGTCGTTAATCGATGTTTTATCGAACCCGAAGTACAAGGAAAAAGTGTAATGCATAAAGTAAGAGAAAAAAGAAAGGTACTCCTAACTTTAAAAAGAAAAAAAAATGGTAGAAATATAACATTTAAAAGAATAAAAAAATTTGCAAGTTTAGACAAGAAAATCAAGTTTAAAAAATACAAAATTCTCATATTTATTTTTTAAAAATAATTACAATTCCTAAATTAAATAATATAAACAAAACCAATGATTAAATAACGCAATATATTTCATACCTAATTATACGGGGGGAAACGATAAAATAAAAGGAAAACTTATTAATCTAAATAAAAACACTTGAAAATTATCGAACCGAAACGATAGTTAAAAAAGGCACTAGCATAAATATTAAAACCCGGAACAAGGCAAGATCAACGGAATTCAAAAAAAAAAAAATTAAATAAAAAAAACCTAATGATAAAATTTATGAATAAAAAGAATTAATTTATTGAGTGCGAAATTTATCGCGAAAAGAAAAAAAATCAAACGTAGTGGAATCAGAAAAACAAAACTGCAATCTGCTTCATAAAATAATCCTATGTTTAAATTAATAAACAATTCTCCTTTTATTTTATTTTTTTGTTGATAAAAACAAGATTTTTAATTACAGCAGATGTGATTCCACACCAAGAAAAACTTGCAATTGATACCGCACTTCCAAAGAATGAGAATTTATTCAAAAGAAAAAGATTTTATTTTTATTAGTCGATGTCAAATAAATATATTTTTCTCTTTTCTTTTTCTGTTCACTGATATGCATGCAATGCATTTTCCCCACCCCCCTCGTAAATCAAGCAGAAAACGAAATCAGCATGCCACACCCTTGAGTTTGATTGACGGCCTAAAGGAAAAAATAAAACATTCCTCCCTTCCCTGCCTTCAAGGTCACGGAGGAAATGACGTTTCTCTGGGTAAACGGGGAAAAAAATCTTCCCCTTCCTTACATTTTCCTCTACTCAACTTCAAGGATGAGTCCAATTTCCGCTTTTTTCGTTTTAGTTTAAAATCGTTCTAGTTTAAAATGGCGGGAAATTCGAGCAAAATTTTTCCCGGTTTTCTGGTTTCCCGGTTATCTGGATACCGGATAAATGGTTCTCTACTGTATATATATATATAAAAGATGTTAATCCCACCCATTGATTATGCTTAGCAGTAATAGTTTTCATTTTCAAATCAGCAAAGATATGCAGTGACCATAAAAAAATTTTTTTAACTATCCATTGCATTCTACTTGTAAAATAATTCATTAGAAACCCTATTTCATTAGGATTCCCTTTTAATAAATATATAAAATAAAAATTGATTCTTTTTTTGTTACATAATCACCAAAAACTAAAGGAAACTCTGAGTGTTAATTTTACAGCATCTTCTCGTGACAATACGAAATTAAAAAAAAGGTTATCAGGCATTCTGTATACCCTACTCTTCAACTAGTGTACTCCCGCTAAACATGTTTTACTCTAGTGGCACTAAACGAAAATCTGGATGCTTAATAGACAGTTGCGGTTTCGCCAAAGTGAATGCAAACGAAACTCTTTCTTGAATCAGAATATGCTTGATAGTTTTAAAAGTCTCAAAATGTAGATATGAAACTAAAACTGGTGGCTGAACTGACAATCTGTAGTTTCTGAGAAAGTTTTGTCACAAATGATTGAAGATTAACCTTAGAAAATGGAGGCTTAGTCAATTGCCTAACATAATACAATTGTACATTCATGATTTTATAAAACGAATTCAACTTAAAAAAAAACATTTATATTCAATACAGTGTAATGTACATATAATTAAATAAGCTAACATGCATACATAGTCAATAAAGATATACAGACCAAAAAATTAAGAAAGCTACTGCTAGTATTTTATTGAGATTGTAAGAAACCTTTACAATTAATTTCTTAAAACTCACTGATTTAAAAATCTTTCGACTAAAACATAATAAAATGTTTAAAAAATTTACCTGAAGAATAAAAATTAAATTAGATAAAAAAAGGTTACCTGATTGTTGTTTAGTTGAACCTTCGTTATCTAAAAGAAAATAGACAAAAAATATCATAAGCATGATGGCATAATAATATTAATTCAGCCAATTGAAGAGTTAGAAACAAATTGTTCAAAGTTGTAAATAAATTCTGGAAAAAAAATCAAAACTTTTTCAGATTTATTAAAATGTTTGAAAATAATGTTACGAATGCTACTTTAACCTAAAATGTTTATAGTATAATCTGTTACCATACTTATAACTCAGGCAATATTAAATTCATGTCATATACTCTACATTTGTTTATGTTATATACTCGCAGAATTTTAATTTAATTGGCCTAAATATGTATCTAGACAATTATATTAAATATATTTATTAAACAAAAAAGGATCAACAAAAAAATATTCTCTGTTCCCATACCAAGGTTAGCAAAGTAGAACAAGCAAAGTTAGCAGGTGCCTAACCTACAGGAGGGGAAATTTCTCCAGAACAGTGAACTAATTTTCTAACTTTCCCAGAAACAGAAAATTTCTAGATTGTACCTAGTTTTTCAGGGATTTTCGGAGTCATGTATAGGAAAACAGAAAGCACAGAAGAAAGGTAATCTAACACAAATTGAGAAATATTGATCTGCTTTCATATTTATTAGAAATAAAAATAAAAAAACATACCAGATGCAACACTACCTTCTCTGTCAGAGTCTGAAGCCTTTGCTTCATCTGAAAAATACAATAACTTCAGTAAAAAAAAAATTCAGTTTAGGCTTTGAAAATTTCCATCAAAACACCATATAAAAAAAACTATTGGCTCTTTAAAAAATCTATCAATTTATATTAAGCCTTACTTTCTTTTTCTTTTCTTTTTTTTTATTCCTTGTCCGCAGTTTTACCTTTAATTTTAATATTTCTTTTTAGTATAGATTTAATTGGATTTTCATTCAATTGATTAAAATTAAAATTCCTACATCTAATTAATTTTTATTATTTCTTTTGATAGTTAAATGAGTTTTTCTCAAAAATTTTAAGAAGCTGTTTTGAGAATGATTCAACATAATTATCATTACAATAAACCAACATTTTACAAGATAGTAATACTTTAATAGCTATATCCTTTAACAAATTACTTACTAATACCAGATATAATTGTTTGAAAGTAAGGGTTAACTCACATATTTTTATCAGGTTTCTAGATTACTGATTTAAAGCATTGGAAATGGGTAAAATGGAATTTGTGTAAGATGTTATATCACCCGCTTGATTAGGCTTAACTGTAATAGTTTTTATTGTTAAAGTCAACAAAGATATGCAGTGATCTTAAAAAATTATTTTTAACAAATAATCCAGTAAAACGAGTTATCAAGCTTTGTTATGCTACTATATGAAAATATGGTTCAATTTTAATAAATGTAAGAAATAAAATTGGACTATTTTTTTTCTTGTAATATAATCGCCAAAAATTAAGGGAAACACTAAGCATTCGTTTTGGATCTTTTGCTCATCACAATGCACTATAGAAAAGAGTCACCAGGTATTCTGAATATTCTACTCTGCGACTAATACCTGTTCTACCATTAAACAAGTTTCACTCATGTGACACTAAACCAGCAATCTGGATTAGTGTCATCTAATAGAAGACCTAATAATAAACCAGCAACCTAATAAAGAACTGTGACTCAGCTAGAATAAATGCAGTAAAAAATCTTCATTAAATCACAATATGGTTAAAATAAGTTTACATGAATCCATAGTCAAAAAATTAAGAAAACTACTACCGGTATTTTATTGATATTCTAAGAAACCTTTACAAATGATTTTTTTTTAAATATATTTTAGACTGTTAAAAACTCACTGATTTAAAAATCTTTCAGCTAAAAAATAATAAAACATGTTTCAAAAATTCACCTGAAATAAATAGAAAATAAATTAGATTTAAAAAAATTACCTGATTGTTGTTTAGTTGAACCTTCATTGTCTAAAAGAAAATAGAAAAAAAAATATTGTCAGCATGATGACATAACAATATATATAACTCTAGATGATTTGGTCAATTGAGGTGTTTGAAACTAATTACTCAAAGTTGTAAGTATATTCTAAAAAAAAATAAACTTTTTCAGACTTATTAAAATGTTTGAAAATAATGTCAGAAATGCCACTTTAACTTCCATGTTCCTAATATAGTCTGTTACCATACTTCTAATTCATGCAATATTAATTTCATGTCAATACTCGATATTTATTTAGGTTATACAATCGCAATACATTAATTAAATTAGTATAAATATATGTCTAACAGTTATATTAAATACATTTATAAAACAGTAGATGATCGACAAAAAGGAATGCTCGGTTCTCCCACCAAAGTTAGAAAAATAGAATAAATCGCAGGCACACAATCTGCGGGAAGGGGAATTTTCCCAAGAACAGTGAACAAATTTCCTGACTTTCCCAGAAACAGAAAATTACTCGACGTTTCCCAGCTTTCAGGGATTTCCAAGTTACTAGCTGTATATAAAATGAAATAATTGTATACGAAAGCATAACACACATGAAAAATGGTAATCTAACACAAATTTTAAAAATATTAATTTGTTGTGATTTTTATAACAAGTAAAAGAGCATACCAGATGCAACACTGCCTTCTCTATCAGAGTCTGAAGCCTTTGCTTCTCCATCTGAAAAATACAATACCTTTAGTAAAAAAATTTCAGTTCAGTATTTGAAAATTTCGATCAAAATGATAAACGAAATTTTAGTTATCAGGTTCGTTATGAAGTATTCACAAGTTAGTAGCTATATTACCACTAAACAACTGGATCAAATAACACTGAGACTTTTAGTAAGTCATAAAAAAAATGTCTGCAATTGAAACATGCAAAAAATTTAAAAGTTAACATTTTCTTTTAATAAAAAGTGTTAGCCTATATTTTAACAATGACTTTTAGTTTCTTATAAAGATCAAGTATATATTGATGTAATAGTGATAGCTTAAACATTTATTTGGTATTAAATTTTTCATCTAGGACTATAAACATTCTGGTATTTGCAAATGAAGAAAAAACATATGAAGTATATTAAAATTAAAAAAACTTCAATAGAACTAGCTTAAGAAATGTTAAAAGGATTAAATTAAACAGCAGCACTTTTGTTGTGGAGTAGCTGAGAATAAGTTTTTTTTTCTTCTCAGAATCATTTGCAGACTAGTTGAAACAGAGTCTATACTTTAGAGAACGAAGTTAACATTTTAAAAAAATCTTATGGTCATTTTTTTTTCTATAATTTGTTTACAATTTTACCACTAATATCAATATTTTTTTCCTAATTTTGACTTAATTGGACTTTTATTCAATTGATTGAAATTAAAATTCTTATATCTTGCTAATTTTTATTATTTCTTTTTATCATTAAATGAATTTTTCACAAAAACTTTAAGAAGTTGTTTTCAGAATGATTCAGCATAATTATTATTAAATAAAAAAATAAATTTATGTTACAGTAATACTTTAAGAGCTACATTGTATTACAGGTAATTTACTAATACTAGATATAGTTTATTTGGGAGTAGGGGTTAACCCATAAATTTTTATATAGGTGTTTAAATTACTGATTTAACATATTTTGAATGAGTATAATGTAATTTGTGTTAGGCGTTATACCCCCTCTAGATTACAACTGAATGCAGAAAAAATCTTTACTGAATCAAAACACAGTTAATGAACAAACTATTAGGAAAAGTTTTTAAAATCTCACAATGTAACTAGAAAAACCTATTTAAATTCAATATAATGATATAAACAAATAATGAAATAAGTTTACATGGATATATAGTCAATAAAGATATTTAGACTAAACAACTACCGGGATTTGATTGAGATTCTGAAAAACTTTTACAAATTATTTTTTTAATATATTTTTGATTGTTAAAAACTGATATATTGCAACTAAAAATAATAAAACATGTTTTAATAATGTGCCTTAAATAAATAGGAAATATATTAGATAAACAATATATGCTACCTGATTGCTCTTTATTCGAACGTTCATCATCTAAAAGAAAATAGAGAAAAAATATTATAAGCAGGGGGCATAACAATAGACATAATTTAAAATTATTTATTCAAATGAATAATTTGAAACAAATTGTTCGAAGTTGTAAGAAAATTTATAAAAAAAAATCAGAGCATTTTTTTTCGTCAGAATTATTAAAATGGTTGAAAATAATATCAGAAATGCCACTCTAACTCTCTATGTTTATAACATAATCAGTTTTCATACTTCTAAATTATGCAATATTATATTTAAGTGATATACTCGACATTTGTTTACGTTATATACTCACAATATATTTATTAAATTAGTATAAATATATATTTAAACAGTTATATTAAATATATTTATAAAACGGGTTTTGACAATGCTCCGTTAAATGTGATTGAGGCTTAATTTTTTAAAAATAGATAACTGGTGAGTTCTATATGATATTATAATGGTTGTAGAATGAAAAAAGAAATAAATTAAAAACAACATAATAACAAAATAGCAGTTTAAATAAGGCTTGGAATACATGGAAGAAAAAACAAGTAGGAGTGATCTTAAAAAACTACTAATATTTCACTAAGATTTTTTGTATGATGACTGATTCACTGAGAACTTTTATGTATGAATTTTTTAATTTATTTTAAATTTACAATAGCTTATTGTGTAAAAAATTGCTGCGCAGAAAAAATAATACATTATATTTTAAAAATTTGGATAAAATCCTCTTATTTCAACGAAACAGAGTTAAATTTATAAAATAACATTAAGAGTGCTCTCTGCTTGATCCTTTATTATCTGAAAAATAATTGAAAAAAAATTATTATTAACTATTTGGCGTAACAACATTAACTTTAAAAAGTTTGAAACAAATGGCTGAAATTTATATTTAAAAAAATCTAGACCATTTTTTTAACCAAAAACTTTAAAATGTTTTAAATACAATTTTAGAAAAGTCACTTAAACTCGATATTTATAATGAAGCCGTTTACTACTATGTTAAGCTACACTCTTATTATATTTATTATAATGTTTGATACAGCATTTATATGTCCTCATTTTATTAAATATGGTTAAAATTATTTCAGAAAATAAAGGCCTGAGAAGGTACCGACTATATAAGAATGGTTTGACGATTTTTAAGTGGAAAAAGTAGAAACAATTCAAATACAATAATAAAATAGATATAAAATATAAATGTTTTAAAAACTACCATTTGACTCCGAAAAAAAATCTTTTAAAAATAAATTTTGAAGATATTTTAGGCTATCAATAACAAGAAAATCTTTGAAAAAAAAATAATATATAGTAATAAATTATATTTTTAAAGCATTTAGCTGACTAATAAGGATGAATAATTGAAATAAATATTATTACCTGATTGTGCTTTATTGGAACCGCCCTCATTGTCTAGAAGGACAACAAAAGCAATAATAAACAAAAGGGAAATAGAAAACAAATAGAGCACCACTATATTTTTTTAATTTTAAATCAGTTTGTCATGCAAAAATGGAATTTCCAACAATTTAAAAATGAAAAGATTTTATTGAATCCTCTTTACAATAAATATGATTAACGATATCTTTTTTTTTTGGTAATTATGGCATTTGAATAAATAGATACTCTTTCTTCAAAACCTAGAGTCTTGACGTTCAAGAACTACAATGATTGCTACAGTGTTTTGACTTCATAAAATAGTTGCGATTCATTTTTACCAAACACTTTTCATATTCTTAAGCTAAGGAAAACCTTAGCAGTAATTAATAGCTAATATAATATCGCTAAAAGGATAAATTATTAATTTATTCTTGGCAAAGTGTTTCATATCGTTTAATGACTACTAAATTCTATTATTTCATGGCCGGATTATATGCAGTGATTCAGTAATAAATTTAGAAAATATATTGGGTGGAGTAAAAGGTCTCGTTTTTTCCCATTATTTTCAAATCCATATATTAAATGACGGTCAATAAAAGATATATGTTCCCTTTCGTTTAATGACCTTTTGTTATCTTTTGGTGAGCTTCATAATTCATGGTTCATAGAAAGACATGTCTTTATGTGCGAAAAACTGATCAAAGTGCTGACTTTTCAGTCTCATCTGATTTCAACGTTATTTCACGAAGGAGTTTTGAAGAGATGAAAACAAGTGGGAGTCTGACAGAGCAATGTCAGGTGATTATGCTGGCTGGAGCACAACATCACACTGAAGCTCCTATAACTTTTGACAGGCCACCAAAGATGTGTGTGGTCTCACGTTGTTGTGAAGAAACAGTACTCTTTTACGATTGACAAGTTGAGAATGTTTCTAGATGAAAGCGTCATTCAAATTGCTCAATTGCCAAGAATACATATCTGACTTGATAGTATTGATCCTTCGTTGGAGCTCAAAAGAGCACCACACCCTTCTAATCCCCCTATATTGAGAGCAAAAGCTTTAATGAAGGTTTGCTTTTTAAGTTGATCTTTAGACTGATTTCTTTAGCTCGATACGAAAAAAAATTTCGACTGATCTTCAATGTATCTGACTGAATGTATGACTCAATCAATGTCTTTATTTTGTCCTTACCAATCTGGGTAAGCCTTCCTGATCGAGGTGCATCCTTCAAATCAAAATTACCAGTATGGAATTTTATGAACCAGATTTGGCACTGGCATTCTTGTACAGCATCATCACTGTAGATTTCATACAATTTTTCACAAGCTTGATGAGTGTTTTTCGCTTTACTTTTTACCATAAAGCTTAAACTGTCAGTTATCAATGACATAACAACTACTAAAGCAAATACTTTAAGTATTTCAGAAACTGCACTATTGCCCTCTCTCTCTCAAAAAAAAAAAAAAAAATAACACAATGACTTTTTACTCAATTTAATATAATTTACTTAAGGTGGAAATGATTGTTAAAAGACGAATTATTATTAATTTAAATGAATTATAAGTTTAATTTAAAGGTGATGGATAGCTGAATTATTCGCAAAACGCATCATAAAGTTAAATAGCTTTAGAAACAATCAGGAATTATAAAAAGATCAGGGCATCTGCTAGATGAAATTTATACATAATCTCTGATTAGCATGTTGCTAACTACTAATTTAGACTCTTTTGTGTGCATAAAATAAAATCCATTATGAGAAAGAAAATAATATGCTAAATATTGTAACTCAAATGTCAAGAAACAATTTATAAAAATAAAACTATGTTTTCAAGTCTTACCAGATTGGGCTTCCTTTCCAGAATCAGACGCTTTATTAGATTCATCATCTAAAACAAAATATGATGAATAATATATTAAAAAACTGACTATTATTTACACTAACAAGATAACTGAAACTTGCAATATGTCAAAACTATTTAAAGCACATTTGAAGCGTTGCACAGTTTAATGACACTTAAATGATATTTTCAGATTACAATTCCAGTCAAACTTGTTTATAACTAGGACATGGGGATTATGACAATTTGTTGGTTAAATCAGAATGCGTCTTAACCCTCAGTCGTCAAAAATTTTCAAAAATAAAAAACACAAAATAAACCTCGAAAATGTTTAAAAACTGCTTATTTTATGTTTTATTTTTATTTTCATTAATTTAAATAACATTTGATTTTTTTTTTTTTTTTTTAGAAGATGAGGGAATTGAACTTTAGCTTTTGTTTCTTACACAACGCATAGCACAAAATACATTCTTCACTAACACCTATTTCATTTTGTATAAGTTTGCAATGTTTCAGAGAACTCGGTATATTCAGTTGTGAATAGCAATAGTTTATATCTTACATTAATTTAAATCAGCTGGATATAAATCATAATTTAAAGCACCTGATTTTTTTTTTTTTAAAATTCATGATTTTAATGAAAGGATTTTTTGTATACTTTTATCAGATTCACTCCCACTGTCCAAAGCAATCCTTCTCTTTTTCGGTGCATTTTCTTCTTCACTTTGACTATTGTCAGATGCAATTCTCCTCTTTTTAGGTTCACTATCTTCATCACTATCTGAAACAATTTTCCTGTTCTTGGCTGGTCTGTCTTCATCACTCTGACTACCATCACTTGCACTTCAAACAAATAGAAATAATAATCATTAAAATAATAACAAGATAATAATAAAATAATTAATGACAAAGATAATTAACACAATATTCATAATTAGAAACGGATTAGTAATATCTATGAACTGAATGAATGATATCTATAATGATATATGTATGAATAAATGAACATATCTATGAATGATATCTATATGACCTAGAATAATCCTTTAGAGTCGATAAAACTTTTAAATTCTGTCTAAATAACCAGTAGTATAAGCAAATCATATAAATTTTAAATGAAGGAATCATGGAAAACATAAAATTTGAACTTTCATAAACTTGAGTCGAGAAATGTGAAACTAAAAACATTATTAAATAAAAAGTTTTACTCAACTCCAAAAGCTTTTATTAAAGGGGAAAATATGCATTATCATCTTAAGAGTTTACTATTAGTCTGCTGTATTTAATGATATCGTAATCAATCCACAGGTATACATATTTAAACAGTCAAACCCAGCTGTAATGTATTGCCCACAGTTCAAGCAATAATCTACAATAAAAAAAGGTTCATTGTACACAAATTCATTGAAAAAAATCATTTTTAGCATGTAACAGTAGTGTTAATGGAAAAAAAGACTGTGATTGTTATAAATTTTGCTGACAAATTATTAATTAATTTAAAAAAATCAAATTTCGAAAATAAAAATAACTGTTTAATAACTAAAACTTGATATTTTTTCATTCCAAGGGAGAAATGAGTGATTTTCGATAGAACTTGATTTTAAGCAGAATTCAGCAAAGAATATGCACAGGGAAGGAAGGCTAGCTTCAATAGACATAATGTAAACTGGCTCCAAAAGCTTGGTACAGGTCCTAGGTATAAAGGAAGAAGCAACTTTTAGAACACAGCAGCAGAGGTTCTTTTTAAACAAGTTTGTACCCACTTCTTCCCCAACCACTGCTTGGGATAAGGATGAGAAGGAAAGTTTTACCATTTTATTCGTGGTCCGTCGTCTATTGCTGTATTTTGGCACTATTAGATATTTCTTTGAGAATTCATTAATATCATTCGTGTTGATTTCATCTGCTAGCACATTCTGAGATTGAATGAAGGAATAAAATAGTGGTTTGTGAGGTACTCAACCAACAACCAGTTAAAGTGGCTTATCTTCGGACTTTCAATTTCCTTCTTATGTTCATAAGCTGAATCTTAAATGCTACAGGTGTCGCATGTCTCTCTGACTACTCCAAGAAAACAATTGCTTTGTTTCCTAAAGAGAGAATTTGGGTTCCATATTGTTCTCTTCATAGTCAACTAGAACACGCAGCACTAGCTACTTCTTATAGTGGAAGATTAGACTAAATAATGTCCTTGTATCCTATTGAGAGGGAGGAAGTGAGCTTATTGCACTTTGTTTTTTCTTAAGTGGGGATGAGCTTAGCAATCATTAACAATAGGGATCCAGAGTCAAGAAGCTTTTGATGTTCCAACTCTGCTCAGCAATTTTGCTATACATTTTTGCACGTTTTTGAAGTGCAAATTTAAAGTTGAAATTTTTATTAAAAAAACCGAACATGAATTTAGATATTAGTCTGATTAGCATGTAATAATTAATAGATGTTAGAATGAAAATAAATACCACATAACAAAAATTAAAACAAATTTAGATAAAATATATCAGTCCAGTCAAACATAAAAACATCCTTCAAAAGCAAAAAAAAAAAATTTTTTTTTAAAAAATGAAAAAAATAAAAAATAAAAAAATAAAGTAATTATTATTTGAAAACTAAAAGAGTCCTAGAGCCTGGGAAAATTTAGAGCTCCAGCTACAGAGGGCTCTAGGCTCCAGCTCCTTGATTAACGAGGTAAATAATTTTACTCCTTTTAAATCATCTCTTAGCTAAAAATCATTGTCCCATTGTCAAGATTTTTTTTACCTTCAAAAACCTGGAAAATCATGCATGCTTTTTGAATCATTTTGTAGTTAAGACATTTTTTTAAACCTTGGCTTTTCAGAGTCATTCATATTTGCACATATAAGAACAATTATTCACATTTTAGAGAGCTTCTTGTTAGTGCATTTTTCTCTAATAAATTTCAACCTCCATTAAAATATGTAAGAGAAAAAAATACAGCAACCAAAAGCTCACAAATCATTTTATAAAACAATATAGCTTTGCCAGCATTAAGGATTTCTGTGCTGCTGAATGGTGAACCATTTTGACAGAACTTCTTCCCTGTTTTCCCATTCAGATCAAAGTAGTAACTTTTTTGCATGTGCAACAAAAGTTGTGCAGCATTTTTTCCAAAAGTTTGTAAAAGCAAATTTTGACAAAGAAAGTTTCTTTCACAGTGCCAACTGATTGGTGCATCTTCAATACAATTGATAACCTTGATCTTAGCCTCTATTGAAAATGCTTTCTTTTAAAAGAATTCACCATTTTTTTTTTTTGCTAGAGGAAAAACATTAGCTTACCGCAAATTGGTTATTATAACACGATGAGAGTCACTATAAAACTAGAGAAAATCTTTGTTCCATTTACTGGTTTAGCACTGGTAAATTAAGGCTATTTTTGGTAGGTTGAACAAATTTTTTATAAGATAAAGTTAAATGAGACTAGAGGAACACTTTTGTAAGGTAAGAAAAATGACACTAGACTTCTGAAAAGTAAAATCTTACTTAACCAAGCCTTAGACGTAGAATTAATTACAGTAATTTTTAGGATAAATATTATTTGACATGCTTTTCCTTTCATATAAAAAAAATAATCTTTTTATATTAAAATTATCTAACAGAGAAAAAAATATTAAATAATATTTACAATGTCTTACATAATTCTAAAAAGCAATGATTCATTTGAATAAATATTTAAATGCCAAATTAAGAGCATAATTTTGAAATAACTATAAAACAATTTAATATACCTTGTTCCCTTTCTTCTTTTAGATTTTGCATTACCACTGTCAGAATCTTCACTTCCACTATCAGAAGCAATTTTCCTCTTTCTAGGTCCACTGTCTTCATCACTTTGACTCATATCACTAGCACTGCAAACAAGAAAAAATAATGTAAAAAAAATATTATATGACTTATATGACAGGAATAACGAGCACAAAAATCCTCTGCTAGACAACAAGTTCAGAAGGCCGAAATTCAAGGAAGAAGAGTCCGTCAAAAAACTATGGTAACAAGAAGGAATATGAAAGTGAGTCAGAAAAGATTGTATAAATTTTTAATGTTTTGAAGAAAAATAAAACATGTGTTTTTTTTTTCTTTTAAATTTTAATTATTTCTTTTTTTTTAAGTTTACTTCAGACATTAAAAAATAAATTAAATATAAATTACAAGGGTTATTTCAATAGTATTTGCTTTCCTTTTTATGCATGTCGTTTGGTTGGTTATTCAATATAAGTAACATAAATAAAACAGAGCAAGATATAAGTTTATAAGAGATTGAGCAGCTTTATGTTAGATAATCAGCGTATACTCGTTGAACAGAATTTTCAGATGTTATGTGTTCCCTTAATATTTTCTTTTCTTGCTTAATAAAGTTTTCATTGCAACAAAAATGAATCTTCAATATTGCTTGCTTGATGTTTTTCACTATGCCATAAAATCCACTAGTAGTAATTAAGACAAATTTGCAAACACATGGGTCTCAAACCTAATAAATGATTTTTTTTAAAAAACATAACTTACTATGAGTTGATTTAAAAACCATACTATTCTAAGTAGCTAGTATATGCCAAACATATACAAATTGTATGTCCTGAATTAAATAATATACAATTTAAGCTTAAAAAAAATTAATTAATTTTGGTTAGGTTAGGAAATGAGAAACAATAAAACACAATTAATGAGCTTAGTGAAGCTTTTTTGTGCAGCATTTGCTAATCCTGTAAATCTGAGGCTACAGTAAAAAAAAGTCCTTCCACAATAAAACTATTTTTAATTAAAAAATTTCACACAAAGTTCAAAGATAGATAACTTAAGATTTATGAAAAACAAAACCACATTTAATGAATATTTTAACATAAAATCATGTTATATAGTCCATTTCAGATATAATTCATAAGTTAACTTTTTTCTATTAAAAAATTTTTCCCATTGGTTAACAAAACCGAAGAAATCTTTAGCATCAATTTTAAAAAAGTTTTTCTTAATTTCTAAAAGCAATATTGTTAAAATATTTAAAGGAATAAATAATGATATCATTAGAAATAATTGAAGAATAATTCCAATAACAAATAAACAATTACTAATATCATTCGGAAATAGTTACATATTAACTCAAATAATTAATAACTCCAAAGGACATGATTTGTAAACAGTTTTGTGATAATTTTATATACCTTGCTTTCTTTTTTCTTTTAGACTTCTCTTTTCCACTGTCAGACTCCTCACTTGATGAAATAGTTGCTTTAGAAACGATTCTGCTCCTTTGCTTGGCAGTAAGTCCATCTTCTTTCTGTTTCTTTTGCTTGGATTCTCTATCTTTCCTACGTTTTCGTCTTCTACCACCTTCTTCTCCTCCTTCATCATCAGTTTCACGGTCATCTCGGGGCACACGCCTGCAACAATACCAGTGGATATTATTCTTTTTTAAACATAAAAGATAAACCAATTGCAATAAAATTTAAATAAATTTTGTGAATCACATAATCAAAATAATAGTTTAAATTTTAGATGATGAAATAGGTAGGACAAAGTTTATAATTTAAAATAAATAAAAATACAAGCAAAATACAATTTTTAAATTTAATTTCAAGAATTTAAATAATGCCATTAACTACTAAAATTTGAAGGAAGATAAATTATTACTCATCATCTGCAGTTTTGGTAAATAGTTATTATTAAAATACTTTTTTTAACCATCAATTTATCACACTCATGCACGAGAAAAATATCTTTTTATAATGAACAATTTATTCACAAAAGTATACCTGACTATCAGGGAAGACATTTACGCGCTATAGCGCAATTTTTTGCGTAAAATACGCAAAAAATTGAAATCGGACGCAAAAAAATAATCGCTACGCGTCCCGCGGGACGCGTAAATTTTTGAAGANAAGCTGGAACTAGTGACAACCACATTACAGCCATGGAGTAATGATAGAATTTGTATGAATAAGATTAAAATTGAAAAACCAGAAACAATTTCTTTACAATACACACTATTGTGTTAATATACTAAAATGTAAATAGATCGCTTACAAATACAATACAATCAACACATTTATAATGTGAAAATATTAGTCAATTAAATTCAATAAACACAATATTTGCTTTAAAATATTAGCAAAAATAGAATTATGAATTTTTTTTTATTTAATAAAAAACTATATTTTAATTTGAATATTACAACTAAATATGACGTAATCTCCTATATCTAGAAGTTACTGATATAAAAAAGTTACTGATAAACAAAAGTTACTGATATATAAAAGTTACTGGTATACAAAAAATATTAACTGTCTGAAATACTGTAAAAAAAAGCATGTTAAAATCGTTATATAACCCACATTTTTTTTATGATTTTTTTTCCAGACATAATATTTTTAAATAACTATGTATTCATAGGCATGCAATAAGTGCAAAACATTTTTTTATAATTTCAGAACATGCTTCAACTAACAATAAAATAAACTAACTTCTTTTTCTTCTTCTTTTCTTTCTTATCCCTATCTTCTCTCCTTTTCTTTTTCTTAGGTTTATCTTCTCCACCTTCTCCAGAAGCACTGCTGTCACTAACATAGTCATCAGCCTTTCGGCCCTGAAAAATATATAATTGTGATTATTCAAGTGAGTTAAAATGGACTTAAATGTAAAAAAAAATACATTTTTAGTACCTCTATATCAATTTCAAACTAAATAAATAAAAAGTTTAAAAATATACTTCAATTTTTTTATACATTCTTTTTTTCCTCAACATTTAAAATAATCCAGCAAAAGTTTTATGACAAATATGCAGAAGACAAAGTATGAAACAATTTCATTGCATTTGGTTGAACAATTTTGTATTATCAATTAGAAAAGTATTTCCTGATTCACACATATTCATTTTCCAAATTCAAAATAAATATAAAAATATATTAAACACAATATAAAAATAATTTTGCAACAAATAAATTTTAAAAGCAGAATTTTTGGGCAAAATATTACATTCAGATTTTTATTATTATCTTTAAGAATAAACAAAAAATAAATTAGAATTTATGTATATAAAAAAAACTGCTTAAATAAATAGGAGATACATTGTAATATAAATTTCACTAAACATTTTTTTTTTAATAAAAAAAGCCTGAAATAAAAGTTTAAAATAAAATTTGCGAAGTATTATTACAGGTGACCAAACTTATTTCACAATTTATGTGCATTGCAGAAAATTCTTTTATAATGATATATGAATGCAAAAGTTTTAATTCAGCACAAATACATTGCATTTCAATTTTATACAACAATTAAGTAAGATCAAATATAATACTAACTATAGTCCAAAATTTAAAAAAAAATTCAAAATACAATATTATAAAAATTTAAATTAAAATACAAAAAAAAAATAACGGAAAACTAAAGAATAATTTTCAAACTTTATATTTTCTTTCCTGACAAAAAGAAAACACATAAACTTAATAGTTTGATAACATAAAAATATTTGAGGAATATAAAAAAATTATTCACCTTTTTAATGGCATTTGTGCCTAATGTGCATGCGCTTAAAGAAGTTTTGCTTCAGAGCAATAGCTTTAAACATTTAATTCATGAAAAAAACTAATATTGCGAGAATTATTAACCTTTTTACGAGATTTTTCTTCAACCATATCGAACAGAAGCTTGCCTTTACTTTTTTCTTTAAATTCTTGTCGTTTCATTATAAGTTCTTGCTCCTGTTTTAAACGTTCTTCTTGCTCTTTCATCTGAAAAAAAATAAATTATCTTATAGACAAAAAATCTTACTCATATGCAGAATATCTTAATCAATTTTATAATTAAATATTATAATTTCTTAAAAAAAGAAAGTTATTATAAAGCATAAAATTAAAAAATATAATTACAAATGTGCAGTATTATTAACAGAAGTGCCCCAAACCGCATTTCATCATTATTACAGCTGATGATGTATCCCAATTACTGTTGCTTTTACAGGCCTAGTACCATTAAACAAAATAGAATCTAATTACTGTTATTACAAAAAATGCGATACCTGGCTGATAAAAATGAGAAATATAAGAAAATGTATACATTTTTATCATGATATTGCATTATTTATAAAAAGAAACACGGGTGCTTAATTTTAAAATTTTATTATAGTCACAATTATTCTAAGTAATTTTACTTTTAGTTTGATGTTTAAATGCTTAAAAAATTCACTTGAAAATGTTGCTTGATTAACCAACCATATTGATTTTCCGACATATCCCTAATTTCATAAATGTCAGTTAATAGGGTTCTAATATATTCCATATACTATGCTACTTCAATGTTAGTATTACCCATAAATTACATGTTATTGAAAAATGGATTCCACCAACCAGCTGCCCATGATATTTTAAAAACAGTCACTTAAACTTTTGAACATAAATAATCCTTTAGATAAAGCAAAGAAAGTTTCAAATTAGTTAATAATTTATTAAAAAAGACTTTGACGAAATAATAATAATCTATTTTATTTTGAAAATGACTCGCACAAACCTGCTGTTCAAGTGTTTTCTGTCTAAGAGCTTCACGTTCTTCTTCTTGTTTTCGTCTAAACTCTCTATCTTCAGCATCAANTCAATGTTAGTATTACCCATAAATTACATGTCATTGAAAAATGGATTCCATCAACCAGCTGCCCATGATATTTTAAAAACAATCACTTAAACTTTTGAACATAAATAGGAAAAATTAAATATCTACATATCCTTTTGATAAAGCAAAGAAAGTTTCAAATTAATTAATAATTTATTAAAAAAGATTTTGACGAAATAATAATAATCTATTTTATTTTGAAAATGACTCGCACAAACCTGCTGTTCAAGAGTTTTCTGTCTAAGAGCTTCACGTTCTTCTTCTTGTTTTCGTCTAAACTCTCTATCTTCAGCATCAAGTCGTCTGGCTCTTGCTACATGATACTGAGCTTGACTGAGCAGATCTTGACATTGCCTGACAAAAGTCCATAATAAATTAAAAATTGTCAAACCTTCCACATTATTTAACTATCACACAGCAGTAATAAACAATGCCAATAGCGTATGTAAAATTACAAATGAACATTGTATAGTTGTGGAAAAAAACTTTCTGTGGCAAAAGACAAAATCTAATTTTTCTTTATTTAATGCTTTCAATCTTTGTTTTCTAACAGGGCACCATTTTTGATGCTGAAAGAACTACAAACAGCATGGCTACTTTTTGTAACACAAAAAACATATTTGAATACATGACTTTACATAACAACAATACACAACAAATAAAAATAGTTTTTATAGAGCTATTGGTGACAATTTAATGTTGACTTTGATACATAAATTTGTTTTGTGAACACTGTTTAATGCTTCAAATTTGTGGTTTCATTAGAATACTATGAGAAACAATGTATGGCAAATCAAGCTGTATGGTAACCAGATGCTTAGACAGAATAATTAATACTATTACAGAAGAATTACAGGAAAAAGCTGGAACTAATTTACCTTGACTTTCAAGGCGTATTTTAAGAAAATTCAAGCCTAACAATGCAATGTATACTAGACATACTGCAGAAAATGTGAGAATAAGAAAATGCAAACATAAATATTTGCCTATCTTATTTTATATTTCAATCATCTATCACATTAGGCAAAACACTATGAATTGATCAAAATTGCTTAGATAAAAAAAAAAAATCAAAAACTAATTTATCTTTTAAACAAATGAAAACTCTTTAGGCAAAATTCACAATCAAACAAAGGCAAAATTTGCATTCAAACAAATCAGCTGCAAAAAAATGTAAAAAAGATGAAAAGGTTCTGTTTAACTCAGATTAGTTGCAAAGTAAAAAAAAGAAAAAAGAAATTGGCAAAAATTTCCCTCCTCAAAATAGTAATAATTATTTGCTAATGATTACACAAAACCCTATATAATGTTCCATTCTCACACATTTGAAAAAAAAATATTTTAAAGTGCATTTTTTACCTAGCCTCTGCTGAAGCTTGAGCTAAATCGTATTTCATTCTATCACCATTAATACTGAGGTAACTGAAGTATCTAAAATAAATTTTAATAGATTAGAAACAAATCACTAGAAAATAAAACAAATAAAAGAGGGTACAAAATTCAAACACAAAATGACCCACTGTATTTATTTAAAGAGATATTGAAATCCTCAAATTATGGTCAAATTATATTGAACATGAGCAATCAGTATGATAAATCATAATACATTCCTCAAATTCTTGTAACTGTAATTAAAATCATAAATAATATGATCTACTAGTTCTTGTTTAATGAAGATTCCCACTTACACAGCAATAATAAAAATACCAAGCAATTTATTTAAAGATTTTACTTAATTAACAAAATTATTTCATAGTAAATACTCATAACAAAAAAATGTACATTAAACTTGTAGTTCAAAACTTTTTTTTAGAGAAAAAGAAAATAGTCAGTCATTAAAATACTAAAAAATAATATATATGTCACATCTAAAACAATAGTTAAGTAGAATTGATGGATCTGAATACTAGACCTTAAAAAGAATTACATTTTAATTTTAGTTTAGTCCTTCTTTAACAGATGAGAACATTCAATAATCTCTTTCACAGTCGTATAATCAGTTTGCGTAGAAATTTTAGTTAATTAGTCTGAAATGTAATCATTATTTATAAAATAAATCCATGCTGCACTAAAATGTCTTTATGAAGCCAAAATCCTATTAAATTTATTAAATATTTTGAAATTTTACTTCCGGTCTTATGATTACTTCCTGCGGTGTTAACATAGAAGTCTGGATAATATGGATCACATAACATGAAAGAAAATAATAACTATATGCAGCTTGTGAAAAAAGAACACACTTGTCTTTTGAAAATGTAGTGATGAACTGGCCTGCAAGTGCTTCTGCTCCATGTATAGTTCATAAATAGTTATTTTTAGTCTACTTTCTTAATAAATAATTATAGATAAATCAATAATTATATAATCAAGATAAAGATAAATCAATAAAGTATAAAATCAACTGCAAATAAAATTTGGATGGATTAAAATTATAAAGAAGCTAATTTCCGATATTACGGTCCTAAAAGATAGACTCGCCACGAAAACCTAACAGAAAAGATTTATATATGTGTGTATGTTAAACTATATTCAAAGATAAGTTAGAAATAAATTTATTCAATTTGATACAAAAAAAGAAGATAACCATAGAGCAACTTATAATTTAAAAATTATTTCATGGATTCCATTTTATTCAAGAACACACCTTTTTTTTGCTTTCATGTGCCTTAATATGGAATTCATTATGGGATTACATTAATAAACACAGTGTTTTCACTACAGCGCGAGAACGCGAGAATCTCGCATATTTTTTTCCTTTCTCGCATCAAAAAATTATTACCGCGAGAAATTCGCGAATTTCTCGCATTTTGGAAAAAGCTTCGAATTACGTCATTTAGAATAAAANATTTTCAATGGTAGTTTATTTATGCCATGTTTATTTTAATGGTTTTTCAACTCATAGATTTAGAGAAGAAATTTTTAATCATCATGCATTTGGCTTATTAACCATATTTAAAAATTGTCAATAAGCCTACTTTCGTTTTGTTTAACTATTATATTCAGATTTTGTTTATGATTAGTTGAATATTTAAGCACAGTAAATCTTTGAGAATAAATTTAACTCAATATCATATTACAGTTGTAAACAGCACTTTAATCATTTAATTTTAACATTTAAACAAAATGTTTAATAAAAATAAAATTTTTCAATATTACCAACTATTTATTGCATTTTTCAGCAAATTTTTAAATATCAGTCAGGTTCGTATTAACAAAATTAAGAGGAGAAAAAAATGGTGATTATTTAATAGATTTTATAATAATAATATAATAAATGAATTTAATTAAGAATTTTTTTATTTATCAATTTAGCTTACCTCTGAGCTAAATCAAGTTCATGCACAGCAGAAAGTACAGTTTTCAGATTGCTCTTTTCATCTTTAAGAGTTTGCGTAGCCAACTTTTGCAATACCAAAGCAATATTGTATAAAATTACAGTATCATGAGGTGCAACACGACGAGCCTATACATTATGAAGGAAAAAAATTAATGATAATCACATTTAAAATGTAAAAATAAAAATAAACAATTGCCTTAGTTGAAATTGGCATCAAATTATCTAATCTAAAATCTGAATGACTGGAAATTAAAGTAACATTTTAAATAATAGAATTGTATAGATAATTAGTTGTTAATTTTACAAACTCTTTTTTTTTTTGGAAATTAATTTAAGAAAGAATAAAAATGTTATTACAGATTGCAAAGAAACTAATACACATACTAAAATTAAGGTAAATGAAGAAATAAAGATAATACGATTGCAAAATTTTAGTACTTGGGTTCAATTTTGACTGAAATGATGCCAGAAATCAAGTCAAGGCTTACTACACTCAGTCAGAGTTCTTCTGTACTACAGAAGTTAATAAGATATAACATGGGAAATGATACTAAAGTCTCCTAATTTCTGATCTGTGAGTGGGTCAGAGACGTGGACTTCAACCCAAAAACACGAAAAGATTATTTATGAAAGGAAAATCTAGAGAAAAAAAATTTTAAATTATCAGAGAGGATGATGACAGAAACAATTCAACCATGAAATCCAACAAAATATTTAAAGAAATTGATAATATGATTACAATAAACTATATAATATAAAAAAAGATACCGATAATTGGAGCACATGGAGAGATGCATAGATGAAGTTAAGAGAAGTCTCAAGTGGTTGAAAATAAAAAAGTAGAAAACTCCATGCTTTGAAGTCAAATTATTAAGGGCAAAATTAATTGATTGTAATTCTGTTTAATTTTGGTCTGCTTATAAAAACACCTACACAAGTATGTTAACAACAGAAATAAACACTTGTAATTGCCAGTAAATATTCTATAAAAAATCAAACTTTAAATTCAACAAAAAGGACTTTATTTCATTTTATATAAACTAGACATTGATTTTCAAAATCTTGTTGAAAAAGTGGTCATTGTGATCTAAACATAAAAAAGATTATGGGGTTAGACAGCATTGTCAACATCTTAAAAATCTTTATTAATTTCAACTATACATTAAAATCATCAAAAGTTTTTTTTTTAAAGAAATTAATACTTATTAAAATGATTACAAAAGATAGGGCCAATAGGCTTAAAATTTCAAAGCCAGTATTAATTGGATATAATCCACTACTTATTCATACTACTCACTACTTATTCTTATTGTACTACTTATTCATATTTTAAAAAATTACTGGGCTACACTATTATTATTATTAACTACATTATTGTGAACTAATTTTGGGCAAGAATGTTATAGACAATGAATGAAGAACATCCCACATATAGCTTATTTATAAGGTTACAAGTTTTTTGCTTCTTTTTTTTAAAGCATTTGAAACTTTTTTAAATGAATTTATAAAAGTTAAAATTTATAAATTTATTTTTTTAAAAAGTGCCTTTAATTAATTGCAAGAAGAAAAGGCAAAATTTAACTGAATTAATGATTTGAAATATAAATAGTATTAAAAAAATACCTTCAAAAGTATTTGCTTGCACTCAGCAAGCTTTCCACAACGATAATGAGCTCGCGCTAAATACATAAGGATTTCAACATTATAGTGCTTGAAGAATTTTTTCAGACAATTTTCATACTGTAATAAAAAAATACCGCATTAAATGAAGATTTTTTACTACTGAACTACATATAATTCCCAAAAATAAGAAGAAATAAATAATTTGTTTTAAAATAATACTTTACCATTTGAATGGCAGCAACATACTGACGTTGCTCAACATAAATATGAGCGATATTCAACCATACATCACAAAAATCTGCAGTTGCTTCCCTTACTTGAGCAAAACAATCTCTTGCTTCAGTAATGTATCCTTTATGAGCAAGCACAGCACCTTTTAAAAAGTAACAAAAAGTAAGTAGCAATTTCTAGCTTTTAACTGAAGTTACAAGCCATGAATGCAATCAAATGCCGAATTTTAATTTATTCTATTAAGATCTCGTTTTGACCCAATTCCAAACGAAGAATTTTCTATGGCTCCTTAATTAGAACCTAATATTAGGTAGATTAAAAAGTTTTCTTCTGTAGCCCAAAAGCTAGTTAGCATAAAATACACATCATTGTGAAGGTAGTAGAGTTGGAATATGGATATTTTAATTACAATATGAAACGTAAGCATTAATAAACTGGGAACAAATTTTACTATCCTCAAAAGTTGAACCACTATATAAATTTTAAAAGATTATTTGTTTTAAATGCAAGTTAAAAACAGTTTTCGAATCACTGATGCAGTCTTAGACAATTATATACTTTGTAAAGTTTATAACTGTATTTAACCATTTAAATAAAACAGGATAAAACATTAAAAGACATATAAAAACAAAGATTTTTAGCTTAAAAAATTTTATTTACTTATCATGTTTTTTACTTATTTAATTAAAAAATTTATTTACTTATCATGAATTTTATATACTTTTTCATTTGAATAAGATGAGAGTAGGTAAAATGTGTGTGAGCAATTCTAAAACATGTAGACAAGAAAACTTTTTGGAACAATTAAGAGATTGAATCTAAGACATCCGAGCGAAAACTGACTTGGCAAGATTTTGAAAGTACTAATTCATGTTAATAAATAATCAAACTAACTATTCCAAGCATAATAATATCAAGTAAAACAATGTTTTGAAGGAAAATAATTGTATTATATTAATTTTTATATGTTTTTTCTTTCCCCCATAATTTTTTAATTCAATTTCAGTGGAACTTTAATCATAGTGCAAATATCATTAAATTAAACTGTACTTACAATTGTCTTTTGTGCAATATTGATTTCAAATAGATATTGATTGTAAGGGAAAATAACGTTGATGAATGAAATGAACAAGATGTTCTGTACACCTACTTATACATATGAAAAATATCTAACTTTTATGTAAAAATGCAACAAAATCTGTGTGTTTTTAATTGTATTATTATTCATTTTTATCTTCTTTTTATCCATTTATTTTATTTTATTTTTTTTTTTGAGGTGCCACATCACATTTTTAGAATAAGTAAGTGATTTCTTATTTTAAAGGATATACAGTATAGTATCTTAAAAACATTTAACTTATTAGCATTGTGACTCTTGTAAAAGACAGCATATATAAATTAGGGGGGAGGGGAGTTGAGCACAAAGGATACAACACCTCTAAGTAAAAATCTTTATTTAACTTGAAAAGACAATTAAAAATTTATCTTACCAATGCCATTAGCAGCCCAAATATTTCTTGGATCAATTTTAAGAACACCTGTATACATATTTAGTGCTCTATCTTGATGTCTTTTTTCTTTTTCTTTGTCCCTACTTGGCTGATGCAATGTTTGGAGCCATATATTTGCAATGGCTATCGAAGAATAAGTGTCTTGAGGAGTAGTGTTCAAAATACGCTCAAATTTTCTCTGACCAGGATTCCATTCCTGTTTTGCAATATGCAAATTTCCTATTAAGGACCATGCATCAGGATGGTTCTATGAAAAAAAATGACACAGTGCAATTAGTCAACTATTGACACATAAAAAACGGAGTTAAACTTTTATAAGATTTATTTAGCCCTAATGATTTTTTTTAAAGAAAGTAAGCTATTTTCTTTTCTTCTTTAAGTATATATAACAAATAAATTACAATCTATTTTTTGAGTTTTTAGTAAAAAAGCCTTAAGAAAAGTTTTACATCTATTTTTAAAGCTGAATATATTTTAAAAGAGGTAAACTAAAAAGAAAAGATACCTGATTAACTTGCAGAGCTTCTTTAAACCAATCAGAAGCTTCATAAATCTGTCCTCGATCACGTGCCATACAACCTAATCTCAAGTAACCTATTATAAGAAAAATTATATGAATTGCAATATTATAGTATAAGTTGCAATATTGATACAGGTACTTCATTTAATATTTATATTAAATCAAACTAATACCATACATCTCATTAATTGTCATAATTATTAACTCCATAAGAAAAACATGAAATTCAAAAACAAAATACACAAGACAGCTTCGAAAATTTTAAAATGTGCTTCTTTTTATTATTTGACAGATTTCATATCCTGTAGTGTTTTTTTTAAACTTATTTAAACTTTTTTAATAAAACTTAAACATGTATTAACATAACTTAGTTTTGTTCGGTGCTTAAATTATTTGAAAAAATATCTGTAAAATACAAGAATATAATTTTTGAGATGATAACCATCTTTCAACCAAATAGAAAAAGACAAAAGGCAAATACTTTTTAATATATTTGTGACTGAACATGATTTTTTTTTATATGCTGAGAATTAGCAAAAGTGTATAACACTACAATAATAGCGTATACAATTCAACAATGTACATTGCAATCTACTACTGAGATTTAAAAAAAAAAAAATCTCTAATTCTATCCTACAATAACTAATTTTTTTAACAAAGTTTTAACGCTCAAAAGGTTCTACAAAAGATTGGTAAAATTGCGGGCAACACAGTTCTGACACTTTTAGATATAAGACAACAAAAAAAATAGACTTAACATTAAATATGAAAACAAAATGAGCAATACACTTTTCCTTTAATAAAAAGCACAAAAATACTTCAGTCTCTCTAGTCACCTAGTATTTTTAAATTTTTTAAACTTGCGAAAGAAACTTCTAAGAGAATTATGGTGTTTTAAAGTCACCTTATCAATGAAATAATATAAAATTGATTATCTATATTTTATAAATAAAGCAATATAATTTAACAAAAAAAAAAACTAAAAACATTTACTAGAATGAAAAGAACATAAAAGATACATTGTTTCTGTATCTATCACAATTAAATAAATTAGATACTCACAATCGACATAGTTAGGATGTTCTCTCAAAATGCTCTTGTACAATCGCTCAGCTTTATCAAACTGGCTGAAAGACTCGTAAAGTCGAGCAAGATTATAACTAGTAGTAACAGAGATGGAACTGTAGTAGTGTTCATCATGTTGGGCATCATTACGGGAACGCTCCAAAGAGGCTTCATAAAACTTCTAAGAACGAAACAAACTCCATTAAAACCTTTAAAAAAAGAGCCACTCATCTTCTATGTAACATCAAATAAAAGAAAATCCTAACCTTAGCTTCAGGAAGATTTCCAAGTCTGTAATGAAGTGCTCCAACATTATTTAAAATCTCAGGAGGGACATCTGCTTCAACTTGATCTTTGAGAATAACAGTAGCTGTACCATAAGCTGAAAGAGCTCCTTGAATATCTGACTGTTCCAATATTTGTGCTAATTCAATCCAGGCTTCTACATCATCATCAAACTGTTCAGTTACTTTTTTTAAAAGAGCCTTACAAAAAATAAATAAATGAAGAATAAATAAAAATATTTCCTGCAATCACAATTTAAAAAAATTTAAAATTTGTTTTAAAAAATAAAGTATGCTAGCTATCTTTACAAATTTCAAAATTTAATAAAAAGTTATTTTGATTCTTCATTTTTTTTTTGTAAAAAAAGATGTTATTTTAAATTTTAGCCTTTTGAACACCTTCATTATGGGCTGATACTATTATAATAAAACATTTCATTTGCAATTGCTTTATAATAGATATTTTAAAAAAACTACTTTTCTTAATCTTTATAAAAATCTTCCAAAGCTGAAACTTATTAAAATAGAATAGAAGCAAAATAAGAGTGTTATGGATTTATACCTTAATGAGTGAATTACTATATTACTTCTTAAACCTCTGTAAAATTATAAGAAATCAAATTAAAAAATAAGTTTAATTTGAAAACTATTAATATTAAATTAATCAATAAACAGTAATTGCAAAATGAATCACAGCAACAAAAAAAAGAGTAAAATTGTTTACATTTAATTAAGTTGTAGCATAAAAGAGTAGACACTTTTTTCTATATTAAAAGGATGCGCAACATACGGTTGATGTATCTTACGTTGGTATTTTTGATAGAGAAATTTATTTTTCAAAAGAGGATAAGGAAAAATAGACAATTTAAAGGGCACTTTCTACTGAAAAACAAACTATTAGGGGAGAATTTTGAAAAGGCAGGGAAAACCAAATGAGATATCTTTGAAAATAAGCAATAAATGACAACACATTTAAAAAGAAAGCACAAAATTTAAATATTTAAAAAAAATACTTGATTAGTGCAAAAATTATTTAAAAAAATTAATTTTAGAACCGGATTCTGTATTTTTAAATAACCTGGTTGTGTGTACAATATGAACAGGTATTTTTAGCAGGCCTTAGTTAGCATAATATTTCAAGCAGTGAGGGAATAAGATTGTGTTCTGATAAAAAAATTCATAGTTTCAATAAAATATCAACTATATAAATTGACAAACAATTTTTTTAATTAAAATATTTACCTTAGCCTGGTCTCTTTTTGCTTGATCAGGACTATGTGCATATAATGAACCAAGAATTTTCATTGTTTCATAATTTCCAGGCTGAGCTTTAAGAACTTTTTCAAAACATTGGGCAGCCTGTTAAGAAAGTATTATTAAACTCATACAATAATAGTTAACAAAAAATTAAATAACATGAAGATTTAAAATGAACTAATGAACGAATTTACTGAAAATATGTACTAAGGGCACATAATATTTCCGATATATCTTTTTTAATTGGTAATGATTTTTTATTACCTGCAATTTTGTTTATATCAAATCAACAATCTATTATTTATTTAACATATTGGTTATTTTTATCAAATGATTTACGTAAAATGTCTGTAGAAAAAGAATTAATAAAATTTTTAAAAAGTATATTTTCTGTAACAACAAAGTACTGAATGAATTACAAAAAGCTTGCTTTTATTAAAGATTACATTATTATTTCTTAACAATAGTAACAAAACATAAAAGTAATAAATTCAATAATAAAGAAATATGCTTCCCTTATAACCTTCGTTAAAGCTTATAACAATTCTGTTTTTTGTTTTCTTTGAATGAAAACAACACTTTAACTTATTTTATTCAATTTCAACTTATGCAAAAGCCAAAAATAAATTCAGAACTAGACTTGATGCAGCTCCGAATTGGAAAATTCAAATGTCTGTTATAAAAACTAATTTTAAGAATACTATTAATAGAACAGTACAGAACCCGTTATCCGGAACCAAAAAACCGGAACGAAATTCGATAAATTTTCCCGCCATTTTAAAAATAAAAAATTTTCCTCATAAGATCTTAGGATTTTTCTTTCTTTATGGAAAGATGTTTACCTTACTATCATTTTGGAAATAATCATTAGTGTATTACTTCGTTTTTTCTTCTTTTTAAGATTATTTCCAAATTTTATTTTTTTTAGTTGGGTTTAACAATTAAAAAAAACGGCTTTTTGTAGCGATTCAGAAAACCGGAAAAATCAGTTATCCGGAATAGCGATGGTCCCGATCGTTCCGGATAATCAGTTCCCTACTGTACAATGAAAAAATTTCAAGTGTTCTTATTTAATATTTTTAAAATAATCAGAATTCTTTGGTTCAAACATTTACAATTGCTAATATGATAATTTTTTTCGTTTTAAATTTCACAATTGTTGATTACCTCTAGTTTATTTACTTGAACTGTACAATGACTTCTATTGTATCAGTTTGAAATAAATATTATTCTCAATATTTTTCTTCATAGTAAACTGTTATATCTTGCAAAATTGGACTACAAACTTTCTGACAAAAACAAGGTGCAAAATGTTTCTAAAGAGTACAGAACTTTAAACAAAATATTTGAATATAAACATTACAGTAATGATCATTCTTTTCAGATATCTCTGATGTCCCCATTTAGAAACAAAAATTATAAAATTCTAAATTGGAGTTAAATTTATAAGAAAGTTATACTATGAATCAAAATAAATATATGGTGTTTTTCAATGAAAAAAAGATAAGTTGTTACAAAGGTATTACAAATAGCTGCAACAAAGACAGTCCTATGCTCTCGCATGCTCAATTGTAATATAAAATGAAATAAACACGATTTTTTCAAAATAAATCAATGCCATAATTTATTTTTATAAAAATATATGCCATCATTTATTTTTATGAAAATTTTAAGAAAATAAATGATTAATAATGGCTAATCCGAATAATTAAAACTTTTAATATTTAATAAATTTTTATAATTTATAAATTTTCTACATCATTATAAAAATTATTCATACTTACATTTTCAGGGTCTCCACGATGAATATACATTTGACCCAATCCATATTGAGGTAACACAAAGGCAGGTGATGCAAACTGTGTGGCCTGATAATAATACTGAAAAGCTTGGTCAAAATCATTTTGAATATGGAATGCTCTAGCTAGCTGATAGCAGCTTTCAGCCCTCATAGCTTCGTTCTCAGTATTATGGAAAGCATGAAGAGCTAAATGTTGTACTTTATTGTAATCCTGTTAAAAGCAATTAAAAAACATTTCTAATGAATGATAAAAGATTGTGAATTTTTAAAAATAAAATATGAGAATTAATCAAAACTATATCAACACAAATGCTGCAATATTCTTTTGATCAATGACTCCAATTGCGCTGATCAATGGACATTATTCGTCAAAATTCACCTGTTTCTTTATTCTGGGGGTTTAGTATACACCTATTCAGGTGACTGTGTGGTCTGCCATTACAGAGCGGGGTTACTGAATGCAGCATCATATCACAACTTTTTAGGTCATGTTTTGGAATTTGCATAGATGTTTAAATTAGACCTAATCATTATAGATTAGTTTAATCAAAATGAGTGTGCTGGCATCAATATTATGTAAATTAGGTGAGAGTTTAAAAAGAGCTGTCACTTGCATTTCAGAGCTAATGTTTATTGCAAAAAGTTTGTTTCTAACTGCTGATTTTTGTTATCTTCCATCCATCATGCTTATTTTATGTTGACTTTTGATGTTTGTCATGTTACTTCTGCTCTGTGAGGTACTTATCCTTAAAGTAATATTTGCATCATCGTATGGGATTGTGCAGTTAATGAACAGTTAAGCTGGCCTCCAGAAATGCAAACATACATACTCCCAGCAGTTAGTATGTTAACCTGATCATTCTTTATTTCATTGTCTTTGGATAAAGCATGTGGTGAACCAAATACCCATCTTAAAGTAGGTATGCCGTAATTTACAAAAAAGCAAAAGTTAAAAAACAGGTAAAGTGCAAATAAAGTTAAATACACAGACAGCTTTTTCAGGATTAAATAAATATTATCATCAATGCCAAGACAGGGTGCGTAGCCAAATTATTCAACAAAAAATAAGCACCTTTTAAGCACTCAAAAAATATTTTTAAGCACTTTAAAAAAATATAATATTTAGGAAAATTCGAGTTGGAAAATTTTTGACAATCGACTGTTTTATCTTGTTTTAACCGTCATGCCAAAAAAAAACTTTGGCATTGTTTTTGACAATTGTCAAAAATCATGAAATTTTGAATCATATAAAACAAATGGCGTCTTCATACGCTATGGACTGACTATGCGCTGAAATAGATTGGGGTTGAATCAATTATGAAAATGTTGAATAGAAAAATGTGAACTGCGTCCTTTTGCATAATTTGAAGAGAAAATCAACATAGTAAAGGTAAAATCTCATTTTGAAAAAGGAAAAATTAAGCACTTTTTAAAAACACCGAATGAAAAAAAGCACCTTTAAGGGCTTTTAAAAACGAAAATTGAAAATAAGCACCTTTAAGCGCCTTTTAAAAACGCTATGCAACCTGCAAGACACAGGAAAAATTCATGTTTATTAAGTTTAATGGCAAAAATTTTTTAAAAAATACAAATAAGCAATGTAGGTTAATAATTTAGATTCAGTGAAGCTTTACTAGCGAGGCCATATGAAAAATTTTAAAGAACCAAATGCAATACAAGAACTGATTAAAAATTCAGTTTTTTGTTTCTAGTTACAATACCAATATTTATCAATTCTTTGACTTACCTACGTCACCTACATTGGGTGCTACATCTTGAAATTTTTATGAGTGAAAATTAATAATCGCACAACATTTAAGGCAAAGTGTCTAGTTCTATTTTATTTTTTTATTAGATGAATTATGAATAAAATTATGAATTAAAAGTAGACAAGTAGAAAAATAAATTATGCAGACAAGGGAAGTACAAATTTTTTTATAATTACCATGTAATGTACTTCTTACTTTTAAAATATATTTTAATTGTTATCAGTAAAAACTATCATGAATGTTACTTATTTGCACATAAAATAATCTATCGCAATCACATTTTTTTGCAAATAATAATAATTTTAAACAACAAACTAAAAAAATAAAAAATACATATAATAGGCTTATCCTACCAACAAAATTGATTAATAAAAAAAAATCAAAAAATTTTTAATAAAACATAATTAAATTATTTCCAGTATATTTTTTTAACAGCAGTACTATTTTGAAGATTTCATAAGCATTTTAAAAATGAGAAACTCTGAATAAAAATATTTTTAAAAAAATCAAATGAAACACCATTCATTCAAACAAGAAATAGTATGTATTAAATTAACTAACCTTTTTGAAAAAAAAATGATTTGCTAAATGATTTAAGACCATTGGATTAGAGGGGTCAATAGTATATGCTTTAGATAACATCTGAATTCCATTCCGTATAGCATCAGAAGTTTTTAAATTCAGTTCAAGAACAGCCAGTCCAGTAAGGGCACCAACACATTGTGGATCTAAACTAAGAGCTCGCTCAAAGCCAAGCCTGCAAAAATATATAAAAAGAAGAAATAAGACATTTGAATAATTAATAGTGCTCAGTGGAAAATTCAACAGCTGGAAACATAAAAACTAAATATAGGAACTTTGACAAACTGCGATATTATTAATGTTACTTATCCTTGCATAAAAGGTTGTAGACCCCTCGCTTAGTATTTGAGAAAAATTTCAGTAAATTTGAAAAATAAAAGGGAAAAGTTTAAAAACATCCTAAAGCTATTTACAAAACATCTTTTATTTAAAGTCCTAATTTTAAAGACTTGCAAAAATAAATAACAATGCTCTTTATAAGGTAGATTTAGGATCGTCCTTACCTGGAACTTCAGAATTTATCAGACTTTATGTATCGAGATAAACTTATTTGTCAACATAACAAATGCTTTTAAATAAATAATCCCAAAAAACTGAAGCAATAAGATATTACCAGATTAAAAACTTATTCATTATCAAGAAAACAAGAAACCATCAAATGCTGCACATTGCTGGAATCCCAAGCTTATTTTGGTGCCTTGAAATATAACTTTATTCATATGAATGTTGATCCCCTGTAAACAACATTAGTTCTTTACCACCTCTCCATCACACATAGAAATGCCTTTTATCCTGATTTGCCTCTCTCAGCCACTGTGGGTTTTCTTGTTCTGTTTTTCACCATTTTTCTCTTACAACTACTGTGGCTTCTTCAGTTTTGTTGCTATTTTTCCATTTTTATTAGCAATCTTTTGTTTATTATTTGAAATCACTTTCGCTTCAGCTCTGGCAAGTTTTGAAAATGAGTGTTTTTGAGCACTTGAAACATATCAACTGTTATTTCCTATTCACATATTTTTGAAGCGACTGAAGTTTTTAATTAGTTAATAATGTTTTGGTTAATGAAAAAGTAGTAATTTCATAATAAGCTAGAATAATGAAATTTAAAATTAAATCACTATTTTTCTATAAAAAATATAATTTTTTTGAAACATAACACTCAATTTTAGTTGTTTAAAGCCTTTCTGTTTAATATTAGTTAGTTTTTGTTATTCCAGATTTGCAGTTCCATCCTATAGTTAAATATTTATGGCTGACAAAATATGTCGCTTAGCATGGTCTTTCAATTAACTTTTCAACTCTCATTAAGCTTAAACAGTTTATATTTACCTTGCTTTGTCTAGTTTTCCCATTTTGTAAAAACAATGCCCCATTCCAAGCCGTACACCTGCAAAGCAATTTGGTTTGGTCCTAAGTGCCTTCTTGTAAAGAGACAAGGCACCTCTATAATCTTTTTTGTTGAAAGCAATACATGCCTTTCCAAGTAAAGATGGAATGTTATTCAATGACTAAAAAAAAAAAATAGTAAAAACAATTAAAAGATATTTACAACCACACAAGACAAAAATATAAAGAATGTTTAATAGGTATACTTGATTTAAAACAAAATTAAACTGTGCATCAGCTTGGTCCATTTTATCACCTTCCAACAAACAAAGATAAGCTCTACCCAACAAATGTTCCTAGAAAGTCAAAAAATATTTTTTTTTTAAATGTACAATAAAAGTAATATTTAAAATATAATATAGAAATAAAAGACAATATGAATTTTACTTTAAAAAACAGGTAATTTTAATCTTGTTAACTGCCTCAAAAAAAATTTAAGAACAAAAAAATGTAGATCTAGAAAAGAAAAAAAAGATTTTTAATTGTATATCAGAGGTTTCAATACAAATCATGAATTCATCATATCAGTTTCAAGTTTAAAATATTTGTGTTAATTTAAATTATAATATGTTTTCAAGTCACTATGCTTTGAGTAGAATTTTAAAATAACTAAATGTGAAAAATTATTTATGCACAAAAAAAGAGATTAACAAAAAAGAGGTTATCCCAAGGGCTAATACAGAATTCTTAACCTAAAACCCATTTTTGAGAAAAAAATTTTAGACATTTTATTTTTGTGAAAAATTTAAGCTTATCATAATTTTTGTGAAAAAACATCTTCAAAGGTAAAGAAAAAAAAAACATTAATTATGAAGTAACTATTCTCCTAAATTACAGAAAACTTTTAAAATACTTGTATACAACTCTTTATGATAAATATTTATTTAACATGACACTATTAACAATTAATACACATATATATTTACAATTAATTCAAAATTACAATATATTTATGTTTATAAAAGAGTATATAACAGGAAAAATTTATTATTTTCTAAAAAAAAAAAAAATTCTGATGAGAGAGAATGGCTGCAAGAGACATAAATAATAACATAAGAAGAAGATTATAAAGAATGAGTAAAACAAAATCTTTTAATGCAATTTAAAATTTATATACACTGTCACACAATTCTACCATAAATTCTTTCATTACCAAAACAAAAAAAAATTGTATTTAGGCATTAAAAAAATTTAAAGCAGTATAGATAAAAAAAAAAAACATTTTTATTACCAAATCATACATGATGATTTTATCAGCAGTAGTGAACAAAAGAGTAGCTTTTGTGAATAGCTCACGCTTTTTCTCTCTATCTTTTTCTTTGTTTCCTTGCTGTGCATAATAAACAGCTAACTTATCCAAAGCAGCCATTTGATCTCTTTCCATATTAGGATAATCAATGTTTGCTTCTGTTCTAGAGACATCAAGAATTTTCACAAAATCTTGAACTTTTCCTTGTCGATAATACTCAAGCTAAAAAGATTTGAACAAAAAATATAAATCACAATAACTAAATAAACTAAATTTTAGTGGAAATGCCTCTAAATACAGTATGTGTTACAGACATGCTATTTAGCTTCCTATTCTTACAAATTATGAGCTCATTAAGCAATGGAATCTTAGTTACAACTAAAATTATTCTGTATCAAAATTTTGATAAAGTATTAATATGACATTAATTTCAAAAATAAAAGACATATCACATAACATAGTCTGTCATTTACATAAAAGTGCATTTAATATTTTTAAAACATATTAGTAGTTTTGCTGCTTAAAAGAATTTTAATACAGAAAAATATGAAATAAAAAAAGATTGATTTCAAAATTAAAACTTACTGCAATTTGATTCCATAGATTCAAAGTAGCCTGTTCTTGTCGCAATATACTCAATACTTCCTCTCCTTCTGGAAGCTGATCTAACTTCAGATCAATTACCTAAAATTCAATTTTTTTTTTCAGAAAACGTTAGTAAAATATTTTTTAAAATTATTTCAATGAAAAACACACAATTCAATAACTTTTCAATATTTATAATGAAACTGTATATAATAGAATTATTGAACTAAAACATGTCAATGAAATCTAAAGGTATTATTAAACCTTTCTTTTTAAAATAATGTTTTAAAGTAATACTAGATGTCTCTGCTTATTGCATTCTCTTTAATTCCTGATTGTTCTGCAATTCAAGCTCACTTATCGGATACTTTTTATATTCCATTGGTGCTAATAATTACTTTTAAATTGTAAGTGGTGATAGGTTTTTTTTTGTTCTTTTCTTTGTTGGCTTACAAGATTTAGACTTGTGTCCTTCAGAACTTAAAAAATACAAATATGAAAATTATGTCCTGCTTCCTAGAAAATGTAACCTTCTGTTTAACTTGCTAAAATACTTAATCAAACCACATATTCAAAAACAAAAAAGAAAATATTTGCTTTAGTACACTCATTACTAAAAAAAATTCACTATTATACAAGCTACCTAGGGAATTCAATTATGAATTTAGGGGTTTTAATTCTGCTTATATGCAACAACATATCAAAAATCATAGACTAGACGTGAAAAAAAGTTATAACGTGACTCTGAGAAAAATAATTTAAAAGAAAAAAAGCCCACCAGACAATTTATGTTGCAAAATTATTAAGGTAAATTTTAAACACATAATTAAAAATAATTATTTTTCTTCCAATTATATTACTCAAGGAGAAAATTAGAATAATTTTGATGATCATATTACATCCTCGCTTTACTTGAGCAGTTATTAAATCAGTCCTAACTAAAAGTTTTAATTGTTCAAATACACTGAAACCTCCATGAAAGAAAAACTTCTAAGCAGCTACCTTCTCTATTTACAACCACTTTTGGGATGTATATTATGTATTGAATTTTCTTCATAAACTTTGTGTTGAAGAAAACTTATAGGAGAAACCCTCATTGTCTTTCCCAGTGACCTGGCAAACCTTTGCATCAAATGTGGAAATAGTCAAAGAAAGAAAGACAAAAAAAAATATCAAAACAAAAATATTTGTTAGAGGTTTTTATTTAAAGAGCTGATTTTGATCTACAATTTCTTGATAAAGTCAAAGTGAACCAAAGGTGATGCTATCAATGATTTATTTGAGTCAAAAGTTAAATTAGAAAAAATTAAGCATCTCAAGCAAACAAATCTCTTCTCATTTTTTAAAGCTAACTAATTTTCAAGATATTGAATTGAACTCAAACAAAGAAAAAACATAAGTGTTTATTTATTTAAAATAATTCTATCATTAATAAGTGGTAAATTTGTTTTTACACATGATTATATCAGTAGAAATAATTTTTATTGGCGAGAAATTTTATTCATGGATCCTGCCAACACATATGATTTCCATACCAAGAAAATAACACTGACTAAAATTAAAATTGGTTGAAAAAAATCATATATATTCAATAACACTTATAAGTCCATTAAGGTAACTCTTAAGAATGACCAACTTCCATTAATGACCATTTTACTGTCCAACAAACAATAGTTGCTCCCAAGAGGTTTCACTGAATAACTCTTTTCTTGATTTTAAATTCTTTGCATATCAATCGAAAAATTACAGATGCGCATATTAAGCGATACATAAAAATAGAAAAAATTCACATTTTAAAAAGAAAACCACAGCTAGTAAAAATGAAACCAAAAATTAAGAAGTCTTGGATCTTAAAAAACTGTAGTTTCCAAAATCGATCGGAAAGATACTTTATATTGTGATCTATCATGCCAACTACAACTTCCAGGAGACCAAATGTCTTATAAACTTTCATCCTCCAAGTTGGTCTCCTTCTATCTACGTTATCTTTTTTAGTTTCTCAAGAATTACTGTCCAGAAGTCGATAAGACTTGGTGATTCGGCATAGACCACACAATTAAAATCTTTCTCTGCAATATGAATCTCTTTATTAAAAAACTTTTATGTCACATCTAGAATGCCAACTACAATAGATAAAGTGCCAAATGAATTTCAAACTCGCAATTTTTAGAAAGAAAAAAGATAGAGGTTTGGTATAAGGGGTGGGTATGAGCTACATCTGAAAAGTTGATTCTTTTCTATGATGTTTTTCTACATTTCTCACAGGCGGTTAAAAGAAAATTTGACAAGACTTGTTCATTTTTCTAACACAATTCACGACACAGGGGATATTTCTGTATCATGACCTGTTCCGCCAACTACAATCGCCAAGGTGCCAAATAGATTTTAAACTTGCAATTTTTTTAGAAAAAACATGTAGATGTTTGCCCGAGGGTGGTTACGACTTATACCTTTCGAGTTAGTCCCTTTCTGTGATGATTTTTTTTAGTTTCTCACAGACCGCTGCCCGAAAGTTATCGAGACTTTGCGATTATTCTGTCACAGATCAAGTTACGAAAGTCTCCCCACGATATTTTTACGTATGCTGAAAGTGTCAGCAAAAATGTGGAATTTATAAATCTCGTTATTAATTTAATTACGCTCGTGTGCACATTCGATCTAAAAATATTTCGCAACGAAATAACAACTCGGAAAAAAGTGAATAGTTTATCTTAGTGTAACTAACAATGAGTAGGTGACTCATTGTTACCAATGAGAAGGCGAAAAACCTACACTTCTAAATGAAATAAAATTGGTATGAAATGGTAATACATAAAATCTAAGACAAAATCATTTTTGAAGGAGAAAATTGTGTAACTTTTAATATCCCCAAATCAATAATTAGCCAGGAACATAAATCTAAGTTCAAAAAACAGAATTATAAAAAACTCAATAAATTATCATTCTAACAAAATAAACATACTTCTTCGGTATCCCGAAGCGGAATTTCAATACTGTTCGACATCTTGAAAATTTTCCAGCAAACTAGTAGAATATTATCTCCCCCATAAACTTTTAATTAGTTGCCATTTCGTCAATTTTTGTGACATTCACAAGCACTCAAGAAAATAGATCTTCCATCTTATAGTTCATGATCAACGCTGTATCAACGAGAAAGCAACAACAGTTTTTTAATAAACGCTCTTAACTTCTTTCTTCTGCCCGCATCTAGTTCCGTTTTCTTTTCCGAATTTTTCAAGCTTCGCGGTCGGGAGTTGGCAATCAAAATGCGCTACAGATGGCGCAAAGCAGAATATATATATTAAGGCGGTCCTAAAGTGGATTCTAGCCTCAAACTTGAAAACTAGATGGCGCTGAAAATCACACCCCGCCTCAGGCTAAGATCTAGTTTAGCCTTTCCCAAAAAGATTCTAACTCATAGTTGATTGGCTACCTCAAAAAGAGCTATTCTACCTTTTAACAGTTTCTAGATGTAAATAAATCAATGTATCGCAATGATGTATATTGATGTAAATATGTAAAGAACGACTTCTAGTATCGTAAAACAAATAATCTTAGATTAATAAATGAAATGAATTTAACTGGAGAATTTAATTTACACTTAAGTTTAAAATGATTTTTAATAAAATATGAGCTGAAACACCATAAATTATTAGTAATTATTTATTCATGTTTGCATGAACCAGTTTGTTATTCTAAAACATTATCCTAAAACAACAATTTTTTATGCTTTATTCGACAACAAATATTCAGTTTGAAAAATGCGAGGAAGTTATCTAATATTTGCAATTTTATGTGCTTAAGAAATTAAATACATCGGAAATATGTTTCTTTCCTTTGAAATAACTTCAATGTTTTTCATAAGTGAACATTCACACTTGAATATATGTTTAAATTGATTGCTGACATTGTCTGGGCATGAATATATGGTCAAATTGATATCTCTTATTCATAATGACTAGTATAAATACATAACTCTTGTTTATGCTCAGCTGCAGCCACAGGGATCTTTTAACTTTAGAACAAACGTTTCTATTCTATGAAGTAATTGTTAAAAATAATTGCGGAATTTCTACAAACTACTGTTTGTTTTTTTTGTTTTTCTTTTGAAAAAACACATTATGCTACAAAGTACACAAAAAGTAGCAATTATTATTTTTAAATTTAACAGTAATTTTTTGTATTCAGTAGATGAGTTTGGCAAACTTATTAAAATGTTTCCTGGGACATGACGGATTCTGTAATGTATTCTAACCATATTGTAAGGTCATGAAAAGTCTGAATATAATGTTTTATTTTCTTAAAATTAAAAAATATCGTAGCAAAATAAACGAACCACCATATGAATAACTTTTCATCTTAAGATCGAATCTTCACGTTCGAGAACTCAATCTGGGGAGGACCTCAAATATGCTAGTTAATTAGAACGTAGGATATTTTAAGTTCCGAAATCAGGCACAAAAACGTACTTTCTCCGAATAAACATACCTTTTTTATTTGATGGATTCGGATTTCTGACCCCCAAAATAAAAGGGGAGGCCACAATCTTGGAATTATGATTCTGAGAGTTTAGTCAGGAATAGAAAATTCATAACCTAAAAATAAATATTTGAAAAAAAAGAAATATGCAAGCAGAAAAATATTGTTCGTTTTGAGTTGAGTTCCTATATGTATTCTATATTATTTTGTTCCTATATTATTTTGCTCGATATAGAAACTCTACTAAAGAGCGATGAAAGTTGTAACTCTCTAAGCTCTTTATTAGAGTTCCTACGAGTTTATTAGAGTTCCAAAATTGTTTGCTAAGCAGACACTTTTGTATTGATGATTTTGATAATGATTTGAGGTGTTTTCAGAGCAAAACTATAACCATACAGCACAATTCATCCAGTAGACTTCCTGAGTTCGATCACATGATCCACTAGACGTCATGGATCGAGTACCAACGCCTAATAGACATTTTCTTATAGCTTATTTAGGGATAATCGACAATGGCCTAAATTCAGAAGTCTTATTGATATCTATGATAGACATAAATGTGATTGAAACACTCTATGGACCTTAGTAGACGTCAACGAGACAACTTTTAAAAAACGTCTCTTGGATTGTTTCTCGTAGTCGAAAATGAAACGTTGGATTGAAACGAAATGAATAGCTTATAATGAATGAACATTTTAATAAATACTATTTGCACTTATTTACACTTTAAACATACTGCGTTTTAGTTAAATTTGGAATTAAATATTTATGATTTCAGCACAAAATAAAAAGAACATGAAAAGCAATTCCAAAATGAAGAATAAATGTTGATGTTAGAAATTGCTACCTTTTTCTTTCTTCCTAGGTCTATAGCAAAAATTTCATTCATGAATTCTTATTTAGTTTTAATTGCAATTCTAATTATATAAATAAATTACATATTCAATAAAATTTAATTTAAAAGGTAACTAAAATGTAATATCAATAAGGCTTGCATTTTTCAATATTTTTTTTTCACGTTAAGTGCTTGATTTTCCGGTTACCTAGGTCTCTCTGTCTATCTCCTGCTTTTTATTTTGTTATCTATCTATCTATTTATTTATTTAATTATCTCTTTTTACCATGAACAGCCACTTGACCACTAATTGAAGAACTTCGTAAATTTGCTTGTTTTTTTTTATTCCAATATCATGGCAAACAGGAATAAAATTTAAAAATGCGACATAATTTGTTTATTTATGAAATAAATTTAAATCAGCAAAGATTTTAAACATAATCGCAAGAATACTTTTTAACTTAGAAACTCACAAAGTTTTGATTTTTGATAGATTCTTTTAAACATTTCGCGAAATGTTCCAAAAACTCAAGATTTTTTGACTTTTTCAATTGAAGAAGCTTATGGACGAAACATGTTAAATTATTTTCCGATTGGTTTCATTATTTTTAATATTAGGTAGGGTATTACGCAATTACCGCCCTTAATATATATATTTAGAATCCATGTCAATAATAATATCCTGATTGATAATATATTAATAATAATGTATGCAAAAATACATATTATTCTTTAGATACATTTCTTGTTTTAACTCCCGTGTTATCAATTTTGATTCAACACATTTTATTTCAAAAATATTTAATTCACACCGACACATATTTTTGTACTTCATCTTTGACAAAGTAAGAATGGACGTGAGGCATACGACGGAAAAAAATTTATGAAAAGTACTTGCTCCGTCATTATCGCTCGTAATAAATATTTTTATAATCCAAGTTAAAAAAAGTATGCATATTATGGGACGCAAAATAAGGTTAAAGAAGGAGAAAAAAAAATACCCTCTCAAAACTTGTTAAATTACAGTGAAAAAAAAGGCGTGAGAAAAACATCAAAACCAGTTTAATTGCTTGATGATTTAGAGTTTTTCCCAATATTGTGCTTCAACTTCACAATTTTTCTTCGGTGATCAAACATATTTCGGTGCTTACAGTCCTGCCTTCCACAGTGTAATTCGTTTTTGTTTTTTCTCCTCTTACTTTGTGACCCCTAATGTATAAAAATTTTAATCTATTCTTTAAGATTAAAAAATACGTGAAAAGGGATGATAACGGAAATTTCTGTAATCATAAAACATTTTTTGATAAAACCATTTTTTTTTTTTTTTTTTTTTTCGGANCGAGTAATAAATTTTTTTTTATAAAATTTAAAATATTATCGCGAATTCTTTTGTACTTTGCAACGGACGTGTATAACATTTTTAATAAGGGATATAGGGATGTAATAACACAAATGTCTAAGCTGACGTGTCTTCACTTATCTGTCCATTGACAATCCATCAATGATCAATCAGTTAGATGATCAAACAGCTAGTTGCCATTCACAACTACAAAAATACTGCAATCGATTGATTTATGATGATATTACTCAATGATGAAGTTCAGCTTCTGGCTTGGACATCTAAATCTGGCTTGGAAAAATAGCATGTGCAGTGTAAGCACCACTGTTGAAAAAAGAACAGTCTGCAAAATAATATGTGATACTGAATGTTTAATTATTTTGTTTTCTGAATTTATGGAGCACATAAGCAAAAAATGCGAAAGACTAAGAACAACAAAAATCTATTGTCGTAACAAAATATGCTAATTTGAAACAAGTATGAGGTAAAAAAAATGTTGAGTGATAAATTTACATTTTTAGAGCTTCTTGATTTGGCTCTAGGTATTCCTGAAGATGGCACCAACTTCAATATCTTGCACACAGTTCTGACTCAGCTCGTTATCCGTTTGAATTTGCATTCAGTGAAACTGCCATGCCAGATTGAAAATGAGGTGGCTGCACGATCAGCCATCATGAAACGTCGAAAGGATTATCCTGACACTCTCCTCAGACATTCCTTGTCACTCATTCCACTTCAGAAAGAAGAGAAAGGTGACATCTTTCTTAAAAGTTCAAAAAGTCTCTAACATTAGGTTTTATCATTTTTTCAAATGTATTTATTTTTAATACTGATCATTTTTTAAAAAACAATAAAGTGTGAAATTTAATTGACAAAGTTGAGTAAAGCATATGTTCCTACACATTTATGAAAAAGTTTGCAATAGATTGTAAGCCAATGAATTATTTTTCTTCCAGATTTATGAAACTGAATTAGATACGATGCTATAACTCTCTGAACTGTAAATCTAGTTTTCTTTTCAATAGACTATTGATTCCTGATGTACAACTCATTTTTCTAAAACATTTATATCAATACAGAAATAAAGAAAACTAATTTCAAACGAAAGAACTAATTTAGATTATGTTAAAAAAGTATTGATAAAGATTTTGTGCGTGCGATGTGTTGTGATTGAAGTCATAAATCTGAAGCATGTAAATTTATGAAGAAATTGTCTTAAATTTAAGTAAAGATTTATAAACTTAATTCAACAAACGCAAACAAAAAATTGTTTGTTATAAAAACTTAACCAAAATAAAAAAATTATGGTAAGAATATTAGCAATAAAAACGCAAAACAGTTTTGATGAAATCAGCCTCCGAAATTCCCCAAGCAAAACTGGTTTAAGTTACCCAAAAAGCAGGATTATTGAATTGCCATTAACTCCAATTAATGGCAATTCGTGTATCCATATGTCTTTTTTTTTTTTTTTTTAAATAATACGCATTGATATTTAGAAGAATGTTTCTTTCAAAGTACACCCTTTTGGATTTGATATGATGGAATTTCTCCGTAAAACTTAGAGTTTACGTATCGCTTTTGTACAACACTATACAAGCGGGTATTTTCATAATCACGACTGAAATTATAAACAGTTCAAGTCTCGCAGTTGACTGATCGTTAATACAAGATTCCGAGTAGAACACCAAAGCATCACTGGCTGAGGTCAGTAAGCGAGTGGGTGACCACTTTGATCAGCTTGAGTAGGGACACCGAGGGTGTGCGGTATCGGTCCAAGTTAAACTGTTCTACCGTAAAGTGCTCGACTTCGCGAGCAGGTCATCGGGCTACTAAAACAGGGATGCCATCCCCTCTGCAGAAGATCAAAATTGCGATGGCATGCCTTCAGATCATCCTCAGCGATGCTTCCCAGACCGTCGCCAATAGCCCATTGTGCTGCTCTAGTGTGACGTAAATAAAGTACCTATCTACATAAACAGTTCATATCTGAAGAAGTATACGCAATTAGAAAATGTTAGCTTAGACTTCATTTCAATTCACAGTTGGGAAGGGGTGGAACTTCTTATCTGTTTCGTTTTTAATGTAAATATTTTCCTCTTCTTGAGGTGGTTTCCGAAGCCAGTCAAGAGGTAAATCCAGTTCTATTACGTCACGAAATATGCTTTGTGTATGTGTGAGAAAAAGAGAAATTTCTTCACGTGTTTCATATAGTTTGTCCATGGAAAGAAATACCCTCGCCAGAAAATCTAAGACCATCTATTACTGTAGAAACAAGAAATAGCGCATTTCAACGAGGGAAGATGCTCTCCCCCTGATTCCCTTTCTCTCTCTTTTTCAAATAATGACCTAACACCGCTACTTGAAATAATTAAATCTCATAACCATAGTAACCGCCAGTGCTTCAGATAAATGGCGAAGAGAATTCTCTTAATAGACGGACTATACCAGTTTTTGTTTATATTCAGAGCAAAAATGAGGCAAATATTTACGTTTTGTTTTCAAAGCTTGATTAACATTTCAACTTAGCTACTACACCAAATGAAGAGTTGGTTAGTTGCCTATTTCATATTTAAGAGTTTTTCATTCATTTTCAGTCATTACGAAAGAATCTATGAAAGATATTGAAATAAAAGCAACTGAATCGGCTCCTACGCCAAAACCGGAACCGCTTCCTGAATTTAGTGAAAGTATTCAACTGGAAAAGGCGGAACCTCAAAAACTAGAAGAGGATAGTTCAACAGAATCGGAATCACTTCCTGAATCTGGTAAAAGTGCTGAAGTGGAAAGGTTGGATTCTCGAAAAGAAGCAGAGGAAGATACGGCCGAATCGGAATTGCTTCCTGAATCTGGTCAAAGTGGTCAAGTGGAAAAGGCGGATACTCTAAAAGAAGCAGAGGAAATTACAAAAGAATCGGAATCACTTCCTGAATCTAGTAAAAGTGCTCAAGTGGAAAAGGCGGATACTCCAAAAGAAGCAGAGGAAATTACAAAAGAATCGGAATCACTTCCTGAGTCTGGTAAAAGTGCTCAAGTGGAAAAGGCGGATCCTCGAAAAGTAGCAGAAGAAATTCTTGAGTTGACCAAAGATCCCGAAGTTCCAACATTGACCGAGCAGAGGCTTTTCGAAGACGAACCGGCGAAGGTGATTCAAGAAATGTGGAGGGCGACCGACATCAACAGGAGAATGGGCGGAGCGGAGAGAATACTCGGACAGGTTTTTCGTTTTACATAGTTTGTTAATTGTTATACTATAATTTCATAAGTTAAAATAAGTAGCTTTGCTAAGAACTATTTAGTATGAAAGATCTTTAGAAATATAGAATCCTTCCAACAAATTATCTGTTATTAAACCTGCCTTAACCTTAATATTTATTGCTTGAGTTACAAGTTCAGAATTAGAAAGACCAAAAGGAAAAATTCGATTTTTATCTCCCAAAATAGATGATTGATTTGTCAAACAAAGTCAAGTCGATCCGCCACCTTTTCCGAATCTAAATTCAGAAGTTTCGGACAACGTATACAATGAGCATACCTCAACGACCAGTACTATTATAACTTTTCAAACAATAAAAAAGAAAATATATATGCCAAATAATCAAATATATAATTTTCTCAATAAAATATTAACAATTTATTTTTATTCAAAGTAAGCATTGTGAAATTTAACCTTGTTTAAGGAAATAAATAAAAAAATTTTTTTAATAAATAGCCAAGTTATGACACCTGACCGAAGTCAAGAGCTATGGCAGTGTAAGATATATATGTTACACACATTATTCTTTTATAACAAACGAATGTATATGGTCATACATTGTAATCAGCACTAGCACAAAAACCTGAACTTGTATGTATAGCACTAAATAAATAAAACGAATGCATTAGCATTAAATATTCCCACTTACTATTCATCAATACGTCTAGAATAAATTACATTCTCTAATCTTCAGGAAATGGCGAGTAAACTTTTTCGCTTTTATTATTGCCCTTCTTCCATAGATATTCGTGTGTGTGTGTGGGGGGGGTAATTTTTAGTATTTTAAACTTTACCGCCAAATTTTTTCAGCTCAGAGATAAACCGCTGGAGGACTTGTAACATTTAGCGTCAGTTTGTAGATAAATGTGAAAAACAAAAGTAGCAAATACACTTTCAAGTAACGTGAAAAAAAAAATTTGGCATAATAATAAAATACATAATATACATGCGAATAAAATACATTAAAAAAAAAAAAAGAAATCATGTTAAGTAAAAGAAGTAGAGGAGAAGGAATCATATTTTTAACGAATTCAATGTGCAATACGGCGCTGTGTTTAATTAATTTTTGTTAATTAACATTCTAACTTATGCAGTGAAACATAGCTCAGTTTTAACGTGCCATTTTGCTTATAAGCGATCAGCTAGCACTAACGTCATAGGTCTCATGTGTGGGTATCGGTGGTCTTCTTCTTGAAGTGCTAGTATCCACTTCTGTCTTTTTAAACTTGGGCCTAGTATCCCACTGTTTTCTTTCTTTTAAATTATACTTTTACAGATAATAGAGTTTTTTTTTCAATTAAGAAATACTTTTTAAAACACCAATCTTGAAAATGAAGAATTAATTTAACACTATGAAATACATATACCATTGAAAGTAAGGTTTTCGGCATTTTTCAGATCTACCTGTGGAATTAGTTTATCCACGGTTGCTTCTCTAACTTGTTTTATAGATAGTCGGTTGATTGCTGGCCATACGTGTAGAGTATTCCATAATAACCACTCTTGAGCAGTTATGGTTCAAGGGATAAAGCGTTCGCCTTCAATGAACCGGGATCAAATCCCATGGATGGCAGGTTGATACGAATTCTGCATACAAATCGTAATGCAAAATATAATCGGTGGTAGACGCATCAGGGGTTCCCTTGTCGTCAGGCTAACCGTGGGAGTTTTTCGTAGTTTTCCTCCTAATGTAATGCAAATGCGGGTTAGTTCCATCAAAAATTCCTATTCGAAGGCAAATTCCTCTTAATATTTGATCCAGGAGTTCCCTTGTCTATGTTGAGTTCAAAACTACAAGTCTATGGAGTTAAACACCAGAAGTCGTAAACCCAAAAAATTGGATTGGCTGTTCAACGACGGTTATAAAATAAAATTTAAAATAACCACCCTTAATATTTATTATTAGAATCTTTTAATAAAATGAACTGTTCGACATTAGATAAGCAAATCGATATTTAAGCGAGGGGAAATCAAAACGCTATCATACTCTAATATAACAACTCCTGAAGATGACTTTACTGAGAACATCAAATCACTATCAACCTCTAATCAAACCTCAATGTATTAAATGGTGACTGGAGCACGGTAAATCTATCGGAGACTCAGAATCCTCCAAGTTCACATAACAAATCAATTCCTCTGGGACTACAGTTGATTGTTGGTAGCCGTAAATTCAAATTTGGATCGGATATTCAACGATGATTATAAAATAAAATACAATCAAGCATCAGTGAAAGCTCTTTCTAATAATTGCATTTATATAGACAATCAAACAAGTTTTGATGGTTTCAGTCCCGGTTACCTCAGTCCTGATTAATGAGACTAAGTTAGCGTTTTTTAGACTTATAATTATTAATTTATAGTCCCAAATATGAATGCATTTTTGACCTCATTACGAACTGAAAACACTTCAGGATTCTAAAGATATGCATTAAGAGGATCGTTAAGAAATACTGCTAATCATTTGGTTGTTTATTGTTAATTATATAATTATCCTATATTAATACATGCTTTTTTTCTTCCTTTTTTTTTTGGAAATTGAAAAAATAACTATGGTAAAATGCAAAAACATATCCCGTATTTCGTTATATTTAGTTTGAAATGTTTGCAGTATGCCGATATGCTAGATGATTTATCGCTGAGAGTGACAATCTTGGAAGACTCCGTAACAAAATTACAGGCTGAAGACAACCAAGAGCTTATTGATAGGATTGGTAAATGCGAGGAGAATTGCAATACAATGAACAGCAGACTTGATCAGACTGTAAGCCATTTCTTTTCATTTCTCTTTTTTTTCTTTCCCTTTTGACTGTTCAAATACTGCTTTTGTTTCAACCTACTCAATGGCTCCAATTACTCATGACTCGCTCCTCTCACAAGCTCCTTGATTGGTCAGCTTGCAGCGTAGCCTGCGTGGAAAATTTTTACTACATCAGTTTAAAAATAATTCTGTAACTAATAACCTATTGTTAGAATTTTTATTCCATTGTGTTACTAGTACATTTTACATCTTCAAAATTTTATGCTTCTTATTGTTTTAGTTTCTGCGTAGTGAATCAAATTGTAATGATTGGAAAATATGAATGGAAATATTGATGAATGGAAAATATTTACAAAATTATTAAAATTTGAATTATAAAAAGTGTTATGTATTAACCGATTGCGTGATACGTACTGTCATTGATAAGATTTAAAGGAAAAAGTTTTTGAAAGCAGTTTGTCCTTTTGCTTAAGGCTTATAGAACATATGAGTCGAAATGACAGGCTTTAGCATGCTAAACACCGTATTCAAAAGGTCACAATAAAAAAATCAATTCATTAATTCGAAAAATCAATGCATCATATCAAAATCAATTTTTTTTTCTTTCTTCAATCTTCCCTAGAAACTAATCATGAGTTCATGGTTATGTTTTCGCTCTCAAAAGGAATTTTAAGATTAAGAATAACACAATAATTTACATGATGGTAAGAACATTAAAAACAACGAAAGCAGTACTTATTTAAAAAAGATATAGCAAACAAAAATTAATTTAATATGAAGAGAAGACGAAAAAAGAACAATGTTTATGCGCACTGTGCATTTAAAATTATAACGTAGTTCAAAGTTTCATCAGCATTGCAGTTGCAACCTGAAGATGGTCTCACCAACAGAAAAAAGCATGTTATTCAACGACCAATTACAATAATACATGCGCCTGAAACTTTCATCAATTTAATTCGCTTACACTCAATTCTCCTATTTATTATTTATTTGTAATTATCACCACATCTTACAGAAGAAGAATTAGTACATTTAAAACAAAAATCCTCCTTGCATTCTACTTTTTTTGTAAAATGAAAGATATATGTTAGAAATTGTTGCTCATTTTAGTCTTTTTGAATAGATTTTTGTTCTTTGTTTTGTTCTTCGTTTGAACAGATATTTGTTCACTCATTTTTTATAGTTTAAAGCTCTATTATCCCTGAAATAAGAAGTTATGTAACACTTATAAATCAATTGCGTTTTTCTGGAAAGCTCGCTTTTTTATCATGTCCTATCGGTACCATGCAAGCAAATAAAGAGATTTTTTTATTTATATAAAGTGATAGATAATCCTATTCTCAGCTATACAAAGAAAATGTTTATTTTTTGAATGCCTCTTTTTGAACTTTGACACCCATTTTAAAATTTATTTTACTTTTAGTATCTATTTTGAATTCAATTCTATTTTTAATATCCATTTTTGAATTTCAATATCGATTTTTAGTTTGAAAGCAATACTTAATTTACAATTTATGTGAGCATTACTATACTTTTACGTTTTCAAGCATTAAAGCTAAATAATTTGTGAAGCTTATACATATATTCAAAATTAGATATGTGCACACGCACGCACGCACACACACACACACACACACACACATATATAT